TTCAATGTTGCCTGTATATCCTGTACTAAAGGAGGCTTGTGACTGTTACTAACGTCTAAGTGGCATTTAAGATATATGATATCATCTAGCTCCAGGGAAACTTATACTTATTTATCAAACATGTTACATTAGAACATTCCAATAGTGGTTTACATCAGGTTACATAAGGGCTTCTAATAATACAACGTATACAACCAACAGCCAATTAGCCAGTACAGTTATTCAATTTTATAATGGATACAATACCGTAATAAACATACCATAAATATTTGAAATTTACATGTTAATAAATATACGGCTTGTTGAATTGTCATTTGTCACATATTCTAAATTTAGCGATGATAAAATGTGTTATGAGTCATGTTGTGACAACACATAACATGTAATCGGTTTACACTAAATGCTTTCTGGAGATTTTCTTTTTACATACCTGTAATAATTTGAATTTTCTGACACAAGTTAACTTGGTACAAGATAACAAGCAGTATGTTTATGGCACATCCAATAAAAACAGTTTGATGTGTAACTTTTCGCTTATTAAGGGTGACAAACTTCGAAATATCAGGTATTTGAGTTTGATGTTATATTTTCACTTCATTTTTATACTACGGTCTAAAACTAGTTAAATGAATTGTTGTCCCTGTACAGCACTTGTTTTTTATGTAAGAACAATGGCTCTATATAAATGTCATGTAATGATATGTGAGTTGGCGTTGCATACAGACAATCATTATATGTGAGGCCGAGTTCAAATCAATAACAGTTTAAGTCATTAAACTTTAACGATATTGATTCATGCTTATCACAGAGTTACCCATATCTACGTGTGTTATTATTGAATAGTTGTCGTCTTGTTCTGTTATGGTGAATATAGTCTTTATGTGGTTATCTTGGAGACAGTTGTCTCTATGAATAACAATAACTACACTTGTTATTGGTGAATGGTCGTCATCTTGTTCTGTTTTGGTGATTATAGTGTTTATATGGGTATGTTGGAGACAACTGTCTCTACGGCTACGAATGTACATCAGATAAACATATTGTCACCATGAAATCATGTAATGATAGTCATATTTCAAGGATCAAATGATATGTGTGATCTACAACTCATATATTTAGCTTTATTGCAAAACTTTTGGCAATGGAACCACCCGGTTAAGAAAATTAACGTAATATATTTTATCTTCATGTACTCTAAGTATTGAATAGAGTGTCCTTGTTTAGAAGTTACTCAAAACTTTAATCTTAAGTTATTAACAGAGGCAGGTTGTTCAAAGGGTGATTATTGGTCAATATACAAGGTAGAAACTTGTAATTTTGCATGCATTTTACTCTTCTAAAATGCTTGCTTATTTGAAAGTTTAAAAGTTTGAACACATTTAATAGTTGTATTTTAAAGATACACAAAAAATGAAATGTACACTAATGACCGATTAAGCTAATCACTGTTTGAGCAACTGGACCCTGGATGTAAGAAAATAATTTTGTTACTGATCAGCAAGAAAACAATTGTACCTAGACGTAAATGCAAGAAGCCCATTTTGGCGATCAGATTGTCACTGACAATAAAATATATTTCATACAGAATACGTATAACATAACATAATTCACGTAGATTGTATTAAAATATTTGACATTTTATGAGTGTGATATAAGAATAAAACAATAGTTGTAATAAATATTTGAAGGTACTGAATGCGTGTGGATATTTCGAGGAATACCCTTGGTATGTGAAAAGTAACAAAATCTTGATAAGTCTTCTTTTATAATAATTGGCCAAGTTCAACACAAAACACAAACGTTAAATTCCTGGTTTTATCACAGGCTTAAACCTACAAAAGAACTAAGTGTAGGAAGTTGTCAATAACATTGACATGAATGAATGTAATCCCAAATATTTGTACATACATTTTTGTCTATACCGATGACTTTACACACCCATTCATATAACACATTCTTATCTTAAAACGAAATTTGAAGCGCGTGGGAGTTCCATTCAGTGGTATAATGTCACCACAATAATAGTAAATTTACACATGTTAAGCATAACACGATTTTATCTCGATTGGTATGTCATTATAATTAGTTTGAAAGATTGTATACATTTCTTGTTACAGAGGCTTTTAGTCCAAAGCGAACTCGATATATTTACTGCCTGTCGGAAGGAGTAAATCCATTCTAAGAAAATAATTTTTATTTATACTTTTTTAGACTATACCTTGTGAAAAACGCCTGAAACCTAGCCAATTCCTTCAATTTCACATTCTAGGTATGTCGGCGATGTAATATTTAAATAACGAAGATATTATAACATCGCTCGTATATGCTCTTCTGAGCTTGAAATCCAAGGTATTACAGACTACTTCAACTTCCTCTAAATATCATGACTTCCGTGATAGATGTCGACTGCTGACGGACAAACTTACAACACAGGGTCTCCAAAGATGCAGATTAATGAAGACAATGTTCGCCATCATGATCTCATAGGGCAATTTGCTATTAATTTGTTTAATGTGTAAGTAGATGATTTTGGAGCATTGAGCTAATTAGTGTTGTATCACTATAATCCATTAAATTTTTTAACCTTTTTTAAAATGCAATGCAGGTTTATTACAGGATTTTTTTTAATTCTTTTTTAAAATTTGTTTTATTAGAGGATTTTAATAACTCTGAAACATAAACATACCTAGAAACAAACTACTCGATAGTTTATACCAAACGAGCTGTCTGGAGCTTTCTGTGAAATTAATGAGGATATAGACCCCTAATATACTTTGACAATGTTATCCTGAAAAAAAACCTGCGTCCCATATACATAAACAAACAACTCAGCTCCGATTTGACTATAAAGTGCTAGTAATATAAATAAACAAAATCCCCGGATCTAAAACATTGACTTTGTCATCATGATCATCAAAATAATTATAAATGGATCTTGAGGGATGGTATTTTTAATAACACTATTCCGGTTATTTGTAATACAAAGTTGTAATTGTAAACAGGTGGCCTCTGACTCTGAGGTAGTTCAAACAGATATTATGAAAGTAGTAGTTATAGTAAGACGGTCTCTAACGCAGATAATTATAGAAAGGCTGTCTATAAGGCAGGTTTAATAGATTTTATGAAAGTATTAGTTATAGGCAGGTGATTTCTAGGGCAGATTTGACAGTGGTTATTCATAGTTGGGTGTTATAGACAGATAGTTTCTTAGGCAGGTTTGACGTTTTATATAAATAGGTGGAAGCTACCAATTGTATGCTGGTTTGATTGTCGTTATACACATATGGTTACTATGTTGAAATACATAGGTGTGTTTAAGTCTACAGTAAACAATAATAAAGAAACGTTAGAATATTTTTATTTTTTTTCTCTGCATCTTTCAGTTGGCAGCAAAACTGTGTAACGAGTTGTAAAAATGTGTATTACGTGTAGCTGTTGTAATTTTCTATAACGATTACATTACCTTTAACCTCACCTTCACCCTTTACCTTATCCGGTGTTGTGCAATGGTTTATTCTAGATCTTATGCAATATACTATATGTTTTTAGTATCATCTCAGTACACAAAAGGACACATGGTGTTAGATGTAATAATTAGATAGTATTTGATGTACATTTTAGACAAACATATGTGTATTCCCTGACATGCTATATTGATCAAATGTATGCATGTCATGTTTCACAAGGGTGTATACAACATATAAGACATATCAATAATGCTTTTAATGTGAATCGTATCTTGCAATGTGTATGTTCTGTGTATTGCATCATTTTCAAAGTGCAGAAAATGCTAGAACTTGCAATACATGTGATAGGTAATACATGTGATAGGTATAGGCATTAAACTATGCATGTATGCGTCAGTATTTCGAGCCGTGTCAATGACAAATCCTAGCCATGCACCACAAAACTGGATCAGAACAGATACAATCTGTATTACTGTCTTATCAACTGTAGCTATGTGGAGAATGCGCCATTTTTAGCAATTTAACATTGCATGATACATATTTATAGTATTCAAAGGAACGTAGAGAAGTAAATCATGCATTCTTCATTCACATTTTGTAACTTGCTAGTTGAATGCAATTTTAGTGGTTATTTTTGGCTAGTTTCCAACCAAAAGATAATGCCGTTTGCAATTTAAAACGTGAAACTATCCTATGTTTTTAGTTTTTAAATTGAAAATTGAAAATGTCCTGAAATACTTTGTAATCAATAACCTATAAACGATCAATAATTTGAAAAATGTCGAACTTCACTTTCGTGCATCTGCAATACTTACCCAATATTTTTTGTATCTTTTCTATTTATATATAGTGTGTGAACCCACTTCACCACATTTTCACACGTTAAGATCAGTACACATGGTATTCGGATAATTTGTACATCTTTGTCACACATCCTTGATATTGACATCAATGTCGTCGACTATAGTGGTGAAGGTAACCTTGAGATATGATATCATAAACTGTATTTTAATTTAGAGTATTATCTCATAGTCATTCAGTGCTTAAACGTGTGTACATATTATACGATTGCGTCGTTCTTTACATACACGTATAGTTAATGTGTTAATCTCTTTGATTAGCATATATGGACCACAGCTCCATAGTAGTAGGTGTATTGTTACCAAACAGAATAGCTAATACACATTAGGTTATACCTCACTTGTTTCATGCTATGAAAACAATGCATTCATTGACAGATATCATATAAGATATTGTTTCAAAGAATTGATTCGTCATAGAATAATTGCTATCCCAATATGTTGTTATAGTATTTTTCTAATATGTATACATATCGTGAGAAAAGAATTTGTAATATTTATGTCACTGGTCAAGTGGCACTGATATACAATTTACTATAGACTCCTACAAACCGGAAAATGTGTAACGGTCATAAATCATATACCAAAGTGGTATTTACTTACTGGTATGTGGCCTTTTCTTTTTGTTCATACATGAACCAAACGTAAGCGTTATTTCAAAAATATGCAGGAGTATAATGAGATCTCATTTATTAGAACGTAGGTACCGTTTAATGAATAAAAGTGTGAGAGGATGTTGCCTCTTTCAACATATTCTCAATCAACATATCATAAAATAGCTCATCAATATATTTTATAATTAAATATCATAACATCCGACATCAAATATCAGGAATATATCACAGTTGGGTTTACTTAAACGTAACGGTTAACAGAATATATATATATATATAATGCACTGGGTGTATGGTATGGGGCGACGTTATATTTTAGATAGCATATCATATTACATTATATTTGTCGATAGCTGACGGACTTACTTACAATAATTTCCAAAGATACAGGTTGATGAAGATTACGAACAAGTTTTCCAGTGGCCATCATGATATTATCGGCGGGAAATATGCTATTTCTTTATTTATTTTTTATTTTCGTTATGAGGACGTGCCATAACTTGGATTAAAACCTAGATTGACATGACGGGAGTCGTCGATAAAGCAGAGTACGCTTACCCTACCGGAACACCTGGTCTTATTCTCCTTGTACTTTTTCGAAGGTATCTGTGTAAATGTTCTGTCTGTTCAAATTTAGTCTTGCTTTTATCGATGCTGAGTTCAAGTTATGGTTTTGTTAACACTTATTGTATTGTATTCTACTGTCATTTTTTAATGTGAATAAATAAAAAACAAACGCAAATATGAACAAAGGAAAGATTTACACAGAGAAAAATTCCAATGAGAATAAGTTGTTCCGGTAGATAAATCACTTAACAGTTACTTAATAGTGTGTCATTTCTTTGTCATGCGTCCACGGTAGTCTCAAACAAGTGATCTTAGTTATACCGCTACTCATGTCAGTGTTTTCAACATTGGTATCCTAATAATGAAATTCTAAGTAAGTTTGACAAACATTGATCAACATTTCGAGATATCATTTCCTTTTTTCTTTTTTTTTCACAACCAATAAAAGTTCATTTTCAAAATGTCTCCAGAATTAGGTATCGTTTGATTTTCTTTATGAGGTATGATATAGTGAATTTATTGCCATATTGTTCTGTTTCGTGTACGTAAAAAAGAAAAGGTTGAGAGACGCATCATGTTGTGAGTTTTTCTCCTTACGATATGATAGCTTTGACCGTGCCTCTGATGTAACTCCGACAAACTGGACACTTACGTAAGGCCGAGGAACACATTGGACACGTGACCAAGTGACCACATGGCAAAAATACTATACTAGCCTCCTCGTCAAGACACACCTTGCATGCTTTCTGCTCTCGAAGTTCCCGATTCTCATTAACAAGACTTTCCAGATCTAAAACAAATTATTGTGGTGTTTATTTAAATATGACGTATATGGTCAACACGATATGAATAGCGAACAAATGCAAACTTGTCGTATGGTTCATGTAATCAGTTAAGTCAATGATAGTATATTAGAAAGTCAGAAAGTAAATACACGCCTAGATAAGTAGTTCAGTGACTGGTATTACCTGTGGTGGTGGGCTGTTGGTGGACCGGCTCTGGTTTGGTGGTGTCGCTGTTACTGTTGTGAGGTATTGGCTGCGTTGAAGTGTTGACGGTATCATCATTTATTTCCTTGTCTTCTTCTTCAAGGGTTTCTCCCGATTCTTCTATGTCCCAGACGACTTGGAGTAAGTTTTCAGCTGTCAAGGTTTTATCTAAAATATCATGAAGACAGATGTTTAACTCCAATCAACATATCGAGTACTCCATAACAAGTAAATGGACCAAACGAATATGAAACGTTGACAATAATCAATACCTTACATGCATACTGTTTATCGGGAAATTTTCGCCCAGTCGAACACCCGCCCTTCGCCGGTAAACTCCATATTCGACTGGTTTCATTTCGCCCTTCACATTTAATTTCTATATATAGTGTGTTTTGTATGTTCGCACATAATAAATTCGAAAAAACGAAAATGAAACTGCAGCGAAAACGTCCCGGTACACATTATTAGCACGGTATACATTATCAACCCGGCATACATTATTAGCCCGGTATACATTATCAACCCGACATACATTATTAGCCTGGTATACATTATTAGCACGGTATACATTATCAACCCGGCATACATTATTAGCCCGGTATACATTATCAACCCGGCATACATTATTAGCACGGTAATCATTATTAGCACGGTATACATTATCAACCCGGCATACATTATTAGCCCGGTATACATTATTAGCCCGGTATACATTATTAGCACGGTAATCATTATTAGCACGGTATACATTATCAACCCGGCATACATTATTAGCCCGGTATACATTATTAGCCCAGTATTCATTGTCAGCCCGTTATACATGATTAGCCCGGTATACATTATTAGCCTGTTATACATTATTAGCCTGGTATACATTATTAGCCTGGTATGCATTATAAGTCCGGTATACATTATCAGCCCGGTATACATTATTAGCCCGGTTGACATTATTAGCACAGCATACATTATAAGCCGGGTTACATTATTAGCCGGGTATACATTATAGCCCGATATACATTACTTGCCCGGTTTACATTATTAGCCCGATATTTCGAACAAAACGGACAACATGAACATCACAATATATATTTCAGTTTTAACTTTCGATTTCATATTGTTGTCTTTTTCCAAAATATATGTTTATTGAGCATGATTATAAAAGCCTTAGTACCTTTCTGTTTCCTCAGAGAAGAGATCGCCTTGGTTACCATCTCCTGCGTATATCCCATATCCATAACACTGAGAAACGCTGGATGGTCCATGCTGACTCCAGGAACATCCTCTTGTTTGCTCGCCATTGCTGAGGCAGAAACATTCCCTTGTTTGCTTGTCATTGCTGAGGCACCCTTTATGAAACAAATTCCACGTTAATTAGGTTTTTTTCCAGGTAATCAGGTTCATGTCGCTGTTTTATAAAAGACGTCAACGCAAATATGATGTCAATTCGTTTTCTACTGAAGTTTTGTTCAGGCTTTAATAAAGAATGGTAAAAAATGTTCTTAATTTAAACTCCCTATGCTATCCTTTTACTCGTTTTAAGTGATGACACCCACTGTCTATGATTGAGTTGTTATCATTTAGAGGATAAAGCTTTTTGTGAACCAATTACACCAGATCAGCGTCATATATGTAACGATAGCACTTACAATTAATTATTGCGCTTACATGCCTTGTGGTAAAATAGCATTTCGTTACATCAATATGTCTGGTACGCTTACCTGTAATTGAGAAGTTATCTTCCCCGACTGGACATCCATAATGAATCTATCCCCTTTTAGCTGGCGCATAAATGTGCAGAAAGGGAACCATCGAGCATGTTCGATCCAGGGGTCATCTTGTGGCTCCCATTCTCTTAAACCTCCAGCACAGTGGAAACATCGCACGTAGTCATGACTTCCTGGAAAGGTTGCAAAAATAATTCCATATAATTAGCAATCGAAATATGGCTTTTAAAACCATTTGCTAGTCCTGAATGATTTTGAAGAAACGTTTTCGTATATTATGGTACAACTGTATCTCAATTATTATATCCCTAGTATCTAGGCAGCAATTATTATATCCCTAGTATCTAGGCAGCAATTATTCTATCCCGAGTATCTAGGCAGCAATTATTGTATCCCTAGCATCTAGGCAGCAATTATTATATCCCTAGTATCTAGGCAGCATTTATTATATCCCTAGTATCTAGGCAGCAATTATTTTATTCCTAGTATCTAGGCAGCAATTATTATATCCCTTGGATCTAGGCAGCAATTATTGTATCCCTAGTATCTAGGCAATTATTATATCCCTAGTATCTAGGCAGCAATTATTCTATACCTAGTATCTAGGCAGCAATTATTCTATCCCTAGTATCTAGGCAGCAATTATTCTATACCTAGTATCTAGGCAGCAATTATTCTATCCCTAGTATCTAGGCAGCAATTATTGGATCCCTAGTATCTAGGCAGCAATTATTATATCCCTAGTACCTAGGCAGCAATTATTATATCCCTAGTATCTAGGCAGCATTTATTATATCCCTAGTATCTAGGCAGCAATTATTCTATACCTAGTATCTAGGCAGCAATTATTCTATCCCTAGTATCTAGGCAGCAATTATTCTATACCTAGTATCTAGGCAGCAATTATTCTATCCCTAGTATCGAGGCAGCAATTATTCTATCCCTAGTATCTAGGCAGCAATTATTGGATCCCTAGTATCTAGGCAGCAATTATTATATACCTAGTATCTAGGCAGCAATTATTGGTTGTAATATACCATTCATACTGTGATATTAACACTATTGATATGGGGGTAATATACTATTCATACTGTGATATTAACACTATTGATATGGTTGTAATATACTATCATACTGTGATATTAACACTATTGATATTGTTGTAATATAATATTCATACTTTGATATTAACACTATTGATATGGTTGTAATATACTATTCATACTTTGATATTAACACTATTGATATGGTTATAATATACTATTCATACTGTGATATTAACACTATTGATATTGTTGTAATATACTATTCATACTGTGATAGTAACACTATTGATATAGTTGTAATATACTATTCATACTGTGATATTAACACTATTGATATGGTTGTAATATACCATTCATACTGTGATATTAACACTATTGATGTGGTTGTAATATAATATTATACTGTGATACCAACACTATTGATATTGTTGTAATATACTATTCATACTGTGATATTAACACTATTGATATTGTTGTAATATAATATTCATACAGTGATATTAACACTATTGATATAGTTGTAATTTATTCTTCATACTGTGATATTAACACTATTGATATGGTTGTAATATACTATTCATACTGTGATATTAACACAATTGATATGGTTGTAATATAATATTCATACTGTGATATTAACACTATTGATGTGGTTGTAATATACTATTCATACTGTGATATTAACACTATTGATATGGTTGTAATATAATAATCATACCACATTGTAATATGTTTTGCAATTGATATTGTTATACGATAACGACTTATTATTTACCTTCGTAGAATAGGCCGCATTTTGCTAGCTGTTCTGGGCGTTGGTTCAAATTGCTTGGCCATGACTTATATGTTGTCAATCGTGTAGCCAAAATGGCGAATTGTTGGTATTTGGGTTGAGTTTCTGTGACTCCTAACGGTTCCATCATCAGCTTATCTTCCCGTTCATTACCCGGTATATCATGTGACGTTGTAATGGACATGGACCTGTCCTCATCGAGGCTTTCTTTGATATTTTGAGGTGTTGTACTGGTGATGGTACCCGCCTGTTGACTTTGCTCATTTCTAACTCTTGATATGGCTGATCTTTCGTCTGGTACGCTCCTGTTCCTCATACTGTTGTTAGTAACAGCAGTGGGACTTCCTCCTTCAACATTCGGCTGGTCTGTACTCACAATAGGGAGTGGTATATCTGGTGCTCTGTTTGGAGTGATATCTGGGGATGCGGGGAGTGGTATATCTGGTGCTCTGTTTGGAGCGATATCTGGGGATGCGGGGAGTGTTGCTTCAAATGTTGCCTGCTGTAGGTTCCTAGGTACATTATTTTGGGAGTCTTCATGGCCACCCGCGGCTCCGGAGTTGGACGAAATCGAAACTGATTCGAATAGAGTACTCAAACTATCATGGACTTTTCCGGTGGCAGATGTATCGCGATTGTCACTTCTGACAAGGGGACAATTTGGTGACTTTGTTGAATGTACAAGAAACGGGACATCTCCCTTCTGCCAACAGCGGTATTTAAATGAACATTTACAACAAATTACTTCGTCTCTATTACCTTCATAATAAAAACCTGCTTTTGCTAAATCTGTTGGGGAAACTGGGGAATTGAAAGGAAAGGAGAAAAAACTGGCGAGCCTCGATAATTCGCTTTCCATGAATATTTTTCCGTTTTACTTTTGTTCTTGGGAATATTTTGCTTGTTTTAAGATTCCTTCGAAAAGTCAACATTGTCGATTTACGGTCATCCTGGATAATCGTTTGGAATTCTGGAGTAATAAATTAACAATCATTAACAATAAGTTTTCTTATAAGCTAATACGTAAGTAACGAACTGTGAAAAATCGTTCCCCGAATCCGTTTTCTCTACATCAATATAAACTATACTGTCAATCAAAGAACCACAGATTTACACCGTGCTTGATGGGCGTTTTCCGTTGGTTATCGAGTATATACAGTTAACAAAATCCTTTCATTGAATAAAGTGCGATATAATATTACCGTCATAATTTAGGAAATTATTTCGACAGAAGTTCACATCGAAACATGACTATCATCGACCCAGATTTTAACCCTGACACACATTTCAATATTAATACATGCATAAACACTTCGACTTGTTGTACAGTTAAATACGGTCCTGGGAGACACAGCCACGATTCCTGTTACACCATACCCTCTTTTTTGAGGCGAAATCGGAAGAAATAGGCCAGGCGGAATATTTTCCGAAATCACATGTACAACTATTTATTATAGTTAAACGAAAGTTCAAGACCTCTCTTTTCCTTCAATATTACCTAAGGCGGAGTTTCCATGTCAGTACAAGAACTGGCTACTTCTCCCCTGACTTGAGCAGTCATTTCATTGAGGAAGTGGTGCACTGATTGTATTGTACCCACATTGATTTTAATAGTTAGCTATGCTATCTCTTAAATCAATATCTATTGTTATTGAATAATTTTATAATTAAATTAATCTGGTAGATATCATTTGACATTGTCACAGGAAATGTTTGTAATAGATATAAATAGTATTTATCGACTCAATTGAAATAGATATTAAGTCTTAATATAGTGTTGTCAGGATGTTCGTCACAATCATAGCATGTCACCAAAAACGATTTTTATTTTCGTTATTTTAACATTTTCACATTGATCCCATTTACTGTTTAGCCAAAAGTATAACTTTAACAGGGAAAAAACGGCCATCTTTATTTTCACCAATTAACGGAAGTTATATGTTTCTGTTCCCCTTTGTGTTTAACCTGAATTTCGAGATCGGTTTTTAAACCAAAGTACACACGACGTTGGTTTTTTGTGATAGTAATGTTGCAGTTACCATATATCCCCTCATTTCGTGGTATTACCTTATAGTTGGTCACTTAGGCGTATGTAGTAATCAAGTAGGAAACGTAAACAGGAAAACACATATCTACTTACCTGTTTATCCTTTATGATCAGAGTCGATACTGATGTTTTACTATCTAGCCGAACCAGGGGTTTAGGACATATCGTTTTCGTTTGATCGGACCATATGTTAGTTCAGCTTTATATATCAGTTATATCCGCCAACGTGTCCCACCTTCTGTTAGCGTACACTTCGAACCAGATAACCCTCAAAATATTGTAATACACAACCCGAACTAAATAAAGTACACGTCAAATTACTCAATTATTACATTATATATATTTTATATGTGGAGTGCCTTTGTGCTATTAACCACGTTACACCGTGTCACTCCCCTTTATACATCATCAGTGTCACGTGGCACTGAACCCACTGTCATAGCCATATGTGTTCTTAACTATAGTGAACTGAAATGAAACTGGAGTATATTATATACCTTTTGTCGGTAAATAGATATCCGATCTGTGAACACATTGTTGTTATACTACCACGAACGCTATAGTGAACATGTATATGCTGGATGTAGTACCTACCTTCTGTACTGTTTCGCCTTTCAATCCTGTAGTGGTATCACCACGCAACTCCCATACACATTTATATGCTGCATGTGTGGAAACTACCTGTTACTATAAATAAACTCGTAGTCTGGGTTATAGACGCCCATGGCTACGTACGTTTAGTTTATAACTGTGTCAATAAGAATAAATACATTTTATAATAGTTAAAAGATATACCAATCATCAATACATAATTTACTCGATTTCTATTTTCCAGTCATATACAAATGTTAAATTGTGCCAAATGTCATACTAAAAGTACGAAAATGTGACAGATTAAAGCAATGAAATAAAGTTGTTATTCAAAGCGTTTGCTTAAAAGTGAAAAACACATCAATTTTATATTTAATAACGGCAATTTACTGAATTTGAAAAGAAAAATATCAGTAACTTTCACATCTGAAATTTTTATTATCTAGTTATTGTCAAAATTTTTAAGATACAAATGTTACAAATGTAACATGAGACAGGGGCACAGTGTCTACTAGAGTGAGGTCAGAGTCCCCAGTAGCAGGCATAACTATCAAAGGAAGATTTAAATAATAACGTGTCGTCAGTAACTTAGAAATAAATTCATTTCAAATACACAAATCGATTGTATAATTGTTCAATCGTACATCGTCAGTATATAAGGAACCTCCAGACTATTCTGCACAATAATGTATCCTGTTTATTTAATACGTTTAATGAAGCTATTTAACATCAGCAAAGTCAGTATGTGATTATTGTAAAATCAAAAGACATCTCATTTAGACCTTTAGCTGAGTGACCCAATACTTAACGACTCAGTCATTTAAAGATCTTGTTTTGAAACAACTTTGTTCTTCTGTGAGAGTTTTATCAAGGATAATATTGATTTGTTCAGTTGCTTACCATTAAACTGATAACCGCAGTTATCAGCAAATGTCTTTTGATGAAATCAGTTTACCTTCCAAGCTATAACACTGTATATAAAAACAAGATATGAAACATCCGGATAACATTGATGCATGATTTAGTCAAGACTCTATCCTCAAACCATCACAAATTTTGAATAAAAAGTGCATTTTACTTTGACAGCAATTTGGATGCGATTATTCATAGCGGCGTTGTCCGAGCTAAATGGAATGCTTTTTTTTGTCAACCCGTGCAAGGGAGGCTCGAGGAACAAAACTCGGTTGTCAATTTCTTCTTGCAATCTACATAATAAGGATCTATGGAAAACTAGCGTGTATATGTAATGTTTTAAGCTGAACATATTATAACAATATAATGAAAACTAAATAATCTCAAAGGGATTTCGAATTGTCATTCGGTTGAAACTAATCCAAATAACCAACTGTATCTATATGTAGATCTGTAAGGTTTGTGATATGTATTTAAATGTTATTTAAGCTTATTTTTATCACAGGTTTTCTGATTTTGATATTGGTCAGGCTAATTGTGAACTACACCAGATAGTCACACTCCACAGACAGCAAGCAGTCCACAATGACCTCAGATTTTATAGTAACATATCCACAATATTGACCGTTATTAATTCATAATCATCCCTTTATATCATTGTATTCTCCCGATATAGAAAAAATAGGAAATCCAAGAGGCGGAAAGTATTATAATATTTTAATATGAAACTTACTTGTAGAGTACCTTTTTCAATAATTGTTGAAACAAGTTATATACATTTTAATATAAAAAACATAGAAATGTTGTTTACTAAATTAAGATAAAGTGAGCTCAGCCTAGCATACATAACGGGAAGATTAGCAACAAGACATCAAATATAACATGTGGTTATCCACAACTATGTCGAATGTTTCTTCATTTTAGCACAACTTATAACTTGACTTTAAACATATTTTATTGTCAAAAAGGGTACAAGTGATTTGGCACAAGTTATTGCCACTAATGAAGCCATCTCCTACTTAGAAGTAGCTTGTTAATTAAATCTATCATAAGTGATTCTAAAATACAAATTATGTTATTATCTAGAGTTCGATATGTTTATAATCATCACCACTTTCTTGAAATGAAAATAATTGTGATAAACAAACGTTAACTGTCGTAACTAATTAATGATGCACATTGTCTGCGAGAACCAGAGATAGCATACCACATAGCCTATAACGGTACACTCTTTGATTATTTTGAAGTTATGTATTCTGAAAAATATAACAATTTTAGCAGATTTCCTTTTATTAAATCATTTCCTGTTTAAAAACACAAATATCAAATCTGCCCTTGTTCTTTTGGTTTTATTCGGTTAATTATCTGTAAACCCAAAACGGGACACGTTTAACAAAATTTCTGGATAGTCTATTTTTTCCAAATCTAACGCTAGTTTGTACATTGTATTTTAAAAATATTGAATTTACAGATCGAAAGTGGTTATTAAAAAAAACAGATCTTTAGTTACAAGCATGGTTATAGCAACAGATCTTCGCATACACATTTGCTTAACTATTTTCATGCAACGATCTGTGCAGTACAATTTAAATCAGGTTTAATGTACCGACTAAAATTGATTATCTTGGCACTCTTTGTACAGTATCTTCTGTGGTTTGATATATAAAAAGTATATGCTTAAATATAGTTTTTGTTTCTGTTGTGTTAATTTGCATTTCTGTCCATATGTTATACAAAATGCAGTAAAATTTAATTAACCAAAAGGTGTTCTATCAAAACTTGGAAATATACTGCTGCTTTTTTATTATAAGAATCACTTTTTTTATTAACCTTTTTTTTCAAATTGAATAGCATTATCTAGCTTTGTATGTTTATCTTTAGTTTATGTTTGGAGGGAGATATCACTTGTTGATTCGCGATATTATCTATTTTTATTCGTAAATTGAGTGAAAATTTTGAACTCTTTTTAAGTTATTTATCGATGCCATTGTAACACATTTTATTTCAGTGGGTAACATTTAATTGTGTCCCTTACTTTATTTCATTCTTTAGTTGATAACATCAAATTGTTTACATATGTATGTGTGTGTTTTATTGTCTTATTGTCTATGGTTGTACCACTGTTTGTTACTGTAGGGCTGGAGAGGGTTTAAATAGGCTGCCTGTTGCCGAATCCATTTGTCTTTTGACAATAAAACTATTTGAAATTTAAATTGTTCTGTGAAGTCAGCTGAAATTAGTAAGTCATAAAACAGAGATAATCCGACACAGAATCGTTCAAATCTTTATTTTTTATAACTTGTATTTATTGTTATTCATAACATGTGAATACACCAAATAGAAATGGTTAACAATGGTAAACGTTCAAAAGATGATTTCCCGTAACTTTCCAACAGTGGACTTCACGCAATTTCGTTCTATGTGCTCACTCGTCTAATCAACTGAAACACTCAATGATCGGTCATTTGAGCTTAAGATACCGCAGTTTAACCTATAATACCTGTTATTATTTTTTTCATATTATTCCCGACAAGTGATTGGCCAGAAGTGAATCACGTGTCCACCGATAAAAACCGATATTGACTTGGAGCACGTGATTTTTGTTGAAGGACTGGGTGTTTCTAAAAATAGAATTATGACGTGTCTCCAAACGAACGCATCGTCCCGCTGCCGCAGCTTTTTGCTGGGTTTTTTTTCCAGATTGCTAACATTACTGTTTTGAAAACAATAAAACTGCGTCCTCGGTCAATATATCTTTTCACGGGTTGATAAATCCAGGTAACGACCTCAGCCAGAGGCTATAATTGAATAATATGAGGTCAGCATTAACTACAGCCAGCAACATCTAATTTTACATTTTATAATCTCGTACAAATCCGTTTTCCTGACCTCAAAAAGTTGAGACATTGTATACATATGATTTGAAAATTCATCAAATGGTATCCTAAACAAGGTATGTATTGAGTGGAAAATTCAACACCAAAGTCATGACGTAAAGGTAACCGTAATGTTTACAATGACAACATCAACACAATGATCATGTAGAAGGTAAGGCAAATAATCCAACAAATATCTTATTACAAGTGATTCCCAATAGCTTTTAATACGTCTAAAACAGTCACTTGAACTGAGGAGTGAGGGCCTGGCTTCTGTGTAAGTTTATATATTGTTCTCTATTGCAGTTTCTTTGTACAAGTTACTATGTAACTTTAAATGAGCAATACAATTATTGAATTCAATTGAAATATCTAAACAAAGTACTGAAAACGAAGACAATATTTAAAAGACACATTTTCTGTTTTGCCGATTTCTGTTTTCTATATAGGATTCTAAACACGTACTTGGATTTTCCTTCTTTTGGCTTTAGAATATAAGTTTCACAAATGATAAATATCCCACCATAATAACAAAATATATCAATCCATTACACAACACAAACTAAGCATGCCTGAGTTATTTCCCTTAACTTCCTAAGCAGTTATTTATCTTTATCATTATGCCAATGGGAGAGTCTTACGATACGAACGAGATAAAAAGTCGTACGAACGAGATAAAAAGTCATACAACCCAAATAAAAAACGTACAAACGAAATACAATGTTTTTTCATAAACAACTCTTTACACTGTGTTCTTGTTTCATTACATCCTTATCGATGTGTGGTGATTTAAGGGGGATTATATTTTAAAAAATCAAAAAAGAAATCAATTTTCTTTTTATTTAAGTTTACGAATCAAACCATTTTAAAAAAAAGTTCCCTAAATAAAATAAACACAGTAAGTTCGTTCCTTATAAAACGTATAATACAACATCATATGTATAAATAATAAACCTATAAATACATCATACAATATATTGAACATCGTGTAGATGCATGCCAGTTATACATCACAATGTATGATACAAAGTCATGTACGACTTATTATCTCATTGGCGCGGCTTTTTTATTTATCTCGTTCGTACAACTTATTCTTTTAATTCCTAGAAAATTGCACGACTAAGCATTCGAACATATGCGCACTTGTTTGTATCACTTACACCTATTACGGCAAGGTTATATTCCGACAAGAGAGTGGCGGATTTGCTTATTGTTTATCGAACATTGTGTTTAGGGTTTAGGGTATGTTACAGTTCGTACAGACACCTGTTTAAAAAGCTTTTTGAGACATTCCCTGAATATGCTAGTCTTAGTGTACGTCTCTGCGCTCCGTGCTAGGTCTTCCCCGGAATGAGAAAATGGCCACTATGAACCGTCTCAACGTAACGATGAAATAATATGCCTCAACACAAGAATGTCAACAAGAAAACAAAAATGTCCAAGGATTCTCAGTTGACGTAAGAACAGAGTATGCTATCTGTTTCCTTTATAGTGTTTCGTTGAATGCTGAACATTTTTATTATTGTTTTTCTGGCATCGACTTGTACACACTGTCTGTCATGTTTATTAAACAAATGCTTTGTGTTTTGCTTCCACATGCTTCCGACAAATTGGGCATTTCTCTAGCTTCTTTGCACAATCAGCACAGGCACATACATGGAAACAAGGATGAAATACCATTTCTAAGTTATTCTCCCAGCACACTTTGCATTTCGTTCGCCTCCGCAATTCTTCCACTTCGGCTTCTACAAATGAAAGCATTAGCTTTTTAAAACAATACTTGTGATCTACACTGCCTGTACTACATCATCATAATTTCCATTATGTTTTATGGAAACAAATTTTCAAATGTATTTCATTACGTATTTATACGCAATAACTAAAGTTTGGTTTGTACATACAGTAAACTTCTTGTGTATTCACTGATAACTACTTCTGTGTATTGTTTAGGGTAAGCCTGCTATTCGATACCAGTTCCTTAAGTTTGTGACATTTATTTGTATAGAACTGTCCTGCATATCAACATAAATGTTAAACGGAGTTTTGTTCAATAAACAGAGATAGCAGTTTTATCTCACAATCTCCGATTGGCGGAGAAACAATCTTAGAAGATTTCAGAAATAAAGGTATTTTATGTTTATTTTAACGTTCAAAACATCAGAAATAAAATTCGGTTTATCTTTCTGGGACTTAAAACAGTTTAAAAAAAAACACTATTTGTTTCTGATGTCATTGTTTGTGTTGACGAGGTCGTGTGTGTATGGTAACTTGTTCCGTCAGAGGACAAATATCAATCAGAAACCATTAGTGTAGTTCAATCATAGATTGAACTTGACGTTACACAACGGTTGGTTCCCAATTACTGTCAGGTTTAACGGGCAAGCCGGACCACTGAAATGTTTTACGTGTGGTAGTATACAGCACATGGTCTCGGGAAAGTGTTTATCAGGTTTGGCCTTCCATCCCAGGGTTATATGTCTGACCGGACAAATAAGGTATGAAGCAACTTTATTTTGTTCCATGAAAAACACATGCTATTTATATGCAATCTTAGTCAGGTAAAAGTTTACTGTTTCAAACAACATCTTAGGAGGTTTTATCTTACGTCTGTATAACGGTATAATAACATAACAAATACAAACCTATCCTCCTTTTCTTTTCATCATCTTTCTTTTTCTGCTCCGCTTCTTTCTCTTTGTGAAGCAGACATTCCATTATTTGTTTGGCTGTGAAATCAGCTATGAAACGGAAAAGCAAGAAATGTGTAAGTGGATGTGAAAAAGAAAAAAAATCACGGTCTTTATATTATTTAGCTGTGAATTGCTCAACGCTTACATTGAAGTTAAGAAGTGTATTAACCCAGACTTATGTTTAAACGTATGTATCGGCATGTAAAGAGTTTCAGAAATTTGTTTGAAATATCGTTGCAAATAGATATTTTGAAAACAATCAGTAAACTACGTTAAACTATTGTTTATGCCTATATATAATAAAACTAAATATAATATTTTATTTATACGAATTTAAAAATATGGACCATACTTGAGATATGAATTTTGCAAACAATATCTAAATCATCCCATGACAAGGAAATCGTGGAAAACATACTCGACTTTCTCATAATCAGACATATTTTAGGCTTTTTATTATCTCTCATTTACACAATTGGTTTATGGAATATATGTGTCCACATTTTATATAAGATTATCAACTTTAGTCATAGACAAACAAGACTTGGTGTTCCTAAACGTGCTTTCATCAAAAGGGTTATATAATATCAAACCAAAAGAAAGGAGATATTCAATTTTAGAAAAGTATCGGCTCTCATCAATTAAACTAAGCTTCTTTCATTTGCAATACGTTTTAAAATGTGGTTGTACCTTCAGGTTTGGATTTAAGTAAGGCGATGGCCTCCAAGATTTGTTCGTTACTGTAGTTCCCAACCAACATGACACCTTGGACAGCTGGGTGCTGAAACAAATCCTCGCTATCTCCTGGGATATCGGTGTCATGGTGATCACTCGATGTCTAGATATACCAAAATTAAAGCATGTGAACTCTGTAACACTCAAATCATCAAATCATGGAAAGTACTTTAACGTTCAAGTCAGATCGTTAAGCAATGTGATGTTTATTTTAGTGAAACACTTTATTTCAATCATCATGACTTGTTAATATAAACGTTAACAGTATTGTAGAATAGTGGTCTTGGTTGTTACCCGTACGTTTGTCCCATTCTGTTCCATAATTTCATCTACTCGATCGGGGTCCGCCACGTCATTGTCCTCGATTTCAAAGATAACCGACAATAGATTTGCAGCACAGAAATCCATTCCTAGGGTAACTGTTAGATTAATGAATCATTACTTACTTTAGGACAAATTCATTATTAAAACGATCACACTTATATCAGAGGATTTATTAAAATCATGGGAAAGTTTTAGGTAAACAGTTTACGAGTGATTGTTACACAGTTTCGCCTGTAAGTAATATTTATTTATACAAAATAAGAAACTTTCAACAAACCTTAGACCTTGTAATGTTATCGGAGTATTACAAAAAGCCGATATCAGAAATATCGAAATGTTTAACTGAAGAGGCCATAATACAAAATATATCATGAGAACCCCAGAAACTAGTGGCATAACGAAATCAACAACAACCTAAGACATAGCGAAACTTAGTGCCAGATGAGTGAAGGGACAGTCTGAGACAAAGTCGTGAAATAATAGTCGTCACCTTTGTTATAGAGTTTGGTAGAACTGTCATTAGTATCGTTGATACAAGTATTTACTAATAATTTGTAGAACAATTAAAAAGTCCTGCAATAAACTGTTTTTTACAAGCACGTTTGTTGGATTTTAGGAACCAATATTTGGAAGGTTCATCAGTTTCCATTCAGTGCAGAGATTGTAATAAACCATGATCTCAAATAGAATCGGTACAATCAATTTGTCAATAATAAGTAGGATTACCAATGTCGTGGAACAAACTTGGGCAGCTTACAAAATCTTTTTTTATTAGAAAAAGAGTGATGTTGTTAGAATCTTTGCTTATTGCTAATAACTGCATACTTGACACGAAATATTCTTTGACTGCAGGGCCGAGTAAAACATATACTCATTACCCTGCTAAACCTAGATATTCCGATCTATTGCAGATGCTTAATATATTTAGCCAATTTGGTCAAGGCACCCGCCTGAACTCTTCTCGCTTCATCCTAGATCTCTTGATTGTTCATAATAAGTTGTTATTAGGTTTTCAAACATTTGGCCCTATTTATCTTGAATGTGTTCAAAGTCATTCATTTGAACATGTCAGATAACCGTTTAACACAAAATGTTATTGGCCAAATTCCATAAGCCTAGGACTATTCGGTGGGAGTTGTTTAAAGGATTTAAGATTATTGGACCATATTTCTTTAATAACCATCTTAATAACCATTCGGCCCACTTATTAAATGTCAAATAACATGCTAGCTGTCTTAGATTTTTCTTCATATTTCACAACCGTGATTCAGCATGTAGAACAAGGTTATTCAATTAAATTAAACTGCTAGATTATAGCCCCTGTATACCACAGACAAAATATCTTGGACTCCAGCGCCTTGGTTATACAGAGGAAATAAAACAAAAGTTAATTCATATTGAAAAAAACAGTGCATGTCTAATTATAATATTTGTTCTTTATAAACTATTGTAAAATTAACTAAACCAGAAGGGGGTTTCAGCTGGATGCAAAGGGGTTGTGAAATTTAGAAAATGATAAAGATCTTAGGACCTTTCAATCGAAAAGAATCGATTTAAGAATGTCTAGATAGGAATAACATAGTTTTAAAATTGTAGCAAACTTGATCCATTAAAATTACCCCTTATTCCCTTTAGGAATCTACATAATTCAGTTATTGTATATGTTGGATATTCTGCAGGTTTTTTGGTCAAGATATGTTAAGTGCTTTTTGAGGTGAAGCCTACGGACGAATGGACAGTCCACGATAGAAGTTTTCTAGCCCCTTTACATAGATGAAATGGTAAAATTGATTTTAAACGTACGATTACATATGTCTATCTTTTTTTGAAATCACTGCATTATGGTATAATACCTCTTGGGAATGGGAAGGGGGTGTTCTATAGGTCACCTTGTGTACTTTAACTGTGGTTATGCTTTAGACCCTTTCTTACATTTCACACTTAAGTCTTTGTTCATTTCGATTGTGAAGTAAAACATTGTTCAGAAGTTATTTTGACATCACCTAAACACTCAAGTGATTAAGTCAATAAGTAACGTGTATTTAACTTACTATTGCACTTTAGAAAAAGTCTAATCGCTTTGGTCAGACATGTTTTACTGTAGCCCATCTCCATTATACTAAGCACAGCCGGATGGTCAAACCAGTCCATTTCATCGCTATTTTCGAATCTCAGGAAATCACCATGCTACAACAAAACAAAAGTTGGAATCATTTACAATTTAGCAAGGACAATGCTGCTACGCGCTGTTAATCTAACAGGGAAATCAAATCTTTATAATCAAGCAAGTTTACACACAAAAACGCAACTTTAACCAAGTTTCAAACTATAGACTTCTTGGTTATCAAAAGAAGTTATTAAAATGTTTAATACATTTTGTTAAGATGACTAAGAAAGTAATTGATTTTTATAAACAAGAAAAAATTATCACGTGTTCATGCGAATGCCCGCATATCAAATACCAAAATACTAATTGAAATATTTTTAACGGCAGATCTTTAAAGTTTTGACACTTTGGACACCTGTGTCTAAAAAGAAGGTCAACATTATTCATTTGAACAAAGTCATAAGCACTTCTTTTCAGCATGCTTTTAGAGGAATGGCACCAACTAGTTCATCCGTTGTCAGTATAATGTGACCGAGCGGAATGCTTTGCCTGGTTCCTTCGGCATGGTATTTCAGTGTGATAGCACTATAATGTCGTCATCAGATCCGCGCTATCACAAGGAGGACAAAACCAGCATACCCTGTCTCCTGCAAACACACACGCAAGCGCACATAAACTACACACATGGAGGCACGTCCTTAAATGACATTGGCTGTTTATAGGAAGTTAAACAAAATAACACCAAACCACACCAAACAGTATGCTATGTCTGCGTTAGGCAACAGACTTTTGGTTTTTTAAATTGCGCTCATTTATCATCTATAAATTAGTTTGATGTCATTCATTTGAACAAGTTGATAAGCCTTAAAGGTTTGAACACTTTGGTCCCTTGGTATTTAAAAGAAGGAAAGGGTCATTCATTTGAAGAAATATATAGCTAGCTCATGATGATGATCTTGCTACTAAGCATGATACAGGCCAAATAACACGACCTAAGGCCACTAGGTTGATCAGATGTATTTTAAAAGATTTTATAATAATTTCAATAGCACTTTTACTCAGGCTTGCTGTAATAGGAAGCTACCATGACATTATTCCCCATTGTTTACACTAAGGTATATGGGGGGTTTACGTATTACGTATTCAACCGCTCCGACCTTGAAAATAAGAAAGAGAGATATTCGCACAAACTTTATAGCCCTCTATCGCATCTTAATACCCGCCACATATTATGACTTAAAATTTAGTCAACCTGAATATGAAGAAGTTGCATTAATATATTGCTTATTTTACCTATCATGATTTTTTTGCAAAACCAGTGAAATATATTTATTCTTACTCACATTCAAATAGTTTTGAGAAGTTAGAGTATTTTCAACCTCGTGTTTGTTGCTAATTTACTTAATCAAATTACTTAAAAAGTATGAAATGAAAATTCCCCGGAAATGTTAAGCAGCAAAAACATAAGAACAAATTTCTAAACATGAAAAATATTTGTTGATATGAATATTTTGATAAAACCGAAATGACTAAAATATATCAGAAAGTGTCGAAATTGTCTTGAAATGAGGAAAATACTTGAAATGCTGTCAATTATGTTTATAAACTAATAAATAGCATGAGGTGTTCCATTTTGTACGGAAGAACATTAAAGTCATGTAAAAAAATAGGTGTCTTCTTTTTGTTACTTACTCGAAATTTCGACTTACTCACTCGAACTTTAAAAAAATAGGATTTTATATATTTTATACTATACATGTATGGCCCTAAAACTTTTTCATAATTTTGGGTAATGGTCATGTAAAAACTTTCAATTGAACCTCACACTACTCAATGGGCTCTAGTGATACCCAAGAATACATAATTTCCCACTGCTGGCAAGGTAAGTTCAAACTTTGTATTTGTTTACCTTTATACCGGCTGTTTTAACGACTTTCGTTTTAGGTCGTTCATTTTTGCATTGTTTTACAAACGGACAGGACGGGAAATAACGAGCATGCTCAATGAAAGGGTCATCCTCCTGCGTCAATTCATATAATAATCCTCCGCATTGGAAACAGCTCACACGATCAGTGGAACCTTTAAAGTACGAAATTTATAAATGAGAACTTTACATAAAATTTATTTATTTACAGATCTGGTTGCTGTTTTATTTCCCCCCCCCCCCCCCCATCTTTTTTGTTTGTAGTTTACAATATGTATACATACTTTGTTGCATGCAAATACTGAAGGGAACAATTTGTTTTCATTGGAACCATAATTGAAAACACAAAGAAACTTTTTTTAAATAAATTCTGGAAAGCATTAAAAATTGCAAAAATAGTGATTAAACAATGATTTAAAAGTGTTGTTTTACGGTTTATTTTTATGGTTATGAAAATAAATACCTGTATAAAAGAATCCAGCGTTAGCGAGATCAGTTGGATTAGTTAGGGACGTATATTGCCATCCATTGAACGAATGCAGTCGCAAGTTGACAGATGTATATAAAGGATAACATGGTCGTTCAATGGACTTCCCTGACTCTGATGTCAATGACCGTATATTCACATGGACGTTTCTCGTGTCAACATCGTCGTCGCGATGGTTAATTTCTTCAACACTTGAATTTTCATTCAGATTGCAAACTACATCGCATGCTGGTGATCGTTGTTGGTGCAAAGTAAGAGGGTTATCTTCCTTCTGCCAGTTTTTGTTCTTGAGTCCACAGTTGTGACAAACAACCTCATCTTCATTCCCTTCGTAATGCAATCCGGCTGCAGATAATTGTGAAGGAGTAATGGGACATGATTGTGGAAATGCTGCAAAGGTTGTATATCTTACTATTTCTTCCTCCATTACGAACACTTCTCACCTGAACCATTCACATGTTCCTGTTTTGAGAAAAGATGGCTTCCATGTTAAGCGATATGTGGCATAGCCTGTCAATTTCACTTCGTTGTGATTTTACCCAACCTCACTTCTACAGTTTAAAGCACACGTAGGTAACTTACGATTCCATTGGAAGTAAGAACAGCAGTTAGAACTTAATCAGCATGCATGGACTGACCTAACAACCAACCATCAGCGTGTACAAAGACCTGGATATGAGTCAATATAAGCTACGGAATACCGGTAGCAATATATACGGAACGCAGTCCGTTACTTAGCAGCATTACCACTACATATTGTACCATATATGTGTAAAGCCGGGCGCTCTTCTCAGTCAGAACGAACACAGGAGTTTAGGAGTTTATTGGTGTTTGTTTCTCATTCAGCATACAAACCTAATATAAAATATATCAGTATTAAAATAAATGAGTCGAACAAAGTACGAAACAAACGTCATAGATGATAGATATACAATAAGTACAAAACTATGTCTACCTACACTATTTAGTTATACTTTCGCTTTACAAGCTTCGACGTTATAATTAAGACTAATTATACAGATATAGAACTATGTTATATTATATTATATTATATTGCACTGTGCTAATGTGCATTTTCAAACTACTACTAGAATGATAATGACTTACCAGAGGCCTGGAAAGGTCCGTCCTGCTCTCACGGTAGCACAGTGCAGAGTGAGACGAGAAGGTTACGGGTGCGTGTGTATACGACACCAAGGGTGGCGTGAGTATGGAAACCCACTCGACCTTACACGTATTCGTTATGAGTAAGCATGCTGACCTAGTGCATCGAGCACATCCTGTTACATATGACATCGTCCCTTTTATGAAATTTGAAATGTTTAACCTAAATTAAAATATTAACTTGTGCCTTAACACAGATAACCGGAATAGTTATGAAGATATCAGGTACCACAAACTAGCACATTTATGCTATAACTTTTCCCATAAAATGAACTGTTCGGGGTATGTTTACCTCTAACGGAATGCCGTGTCTTGCAATATCGACTTCAGATGAGTTATCACTGTCGACGACCGTGTATCTTCTAATATGGACATTTTCACATACGTTGAGTTGTAATCAACTATCAACAAATATGATGACCATCAAACTGTAACAAGTCCCTACTTTCTCTCTCGGTCTATAAGTGTATTTTGTGAGGTTGTAAGAGTTCTCGCGTATTCGCGTTCCTATAGGTACAAAACATGTCATATTTGGATACGAAGTATAATTAAAGAAGTTTAAACATAATCTCAATCATATCAACAAGTACCGTGGTGATATATTACATCTGAAAACACGGGCTAATGATACCAAGGATACGTGAGGTCGTTTAAGGAAATATTATTATGACATGAACAGTAAATAATGAAATCCGATTGGTGCATTCTGGACGGAATCATCATCATAGCTTTATATGTAATAAGTGCAAATAATATCATTTTTCACTGAAGCAGAAATATTTAGCAATTAAGTTGAGAGAGCTAATAATGACAAATAATGTTTTGTTTTTTAACTGCAAGCAAATGTGCTAGTATGTAGTGTTTAGCTGAATAAAGCTAGTATTATTCCATAATTGAAATAATAGAAGTAAAAAGAGAATAGTAAATTGTGCTGAGGTAAGCCAACAGCATGCCATATTCATCATGGAGATGTCAATAGTACAATAGTTATTATATATGTACCGAAATGACGCGATCCAGATACGCTTTGTTTAATACTTGGTCATAGATTTGTGAGAGTCTTTGAGCCCCCCTCGTCTCGATTTAGAACTGGCCCACTGCGGCGTGTCCAGATGGCTTCTTTTATCTGACGCTTGAACAGATTGCTCTCTCTGTCCAAAAAATCGTTGGAGTTATCCCAGTCAATCACATGATTGTTTTGTGTGGCATGGGCTGTGAAATTTTGTGAATAATTCGTACACATTTTACACTTTTGTGTGCACACGCCTCACTGGTCATTTGTCTGATGAAGATGACAGTGTACATATCGTACTAGTCATCGAAACGTCACATAGAAAATGTTATTGGTTGTGTAAAAACGATTTTTTCATAATCCATACTTACCAACCCGAAGAAAATGTTTAGAAATATTCACTCATCATGGTTGAAGGCTACGTGTACTTACAAAGGCGACATAATGTATATTTAAATGTTAATGGATCTGACTACAGTACTAGACGTCACAAATGCGCTGCTATTTTCTTGAATACAATTGTTATATTCTGTGAATGTTTATCATGGGAGGTGTTCAAAATGCAAAACAAAGACAAAATAACGACTATATATACTAGAGTTTACTATTACCAGTATTTAGAGAGAACAAGAACATTATCCTATAGGACGTTACGCATTACTGATAGTATACACAGTATATGATCTACCGGTCACTAGTAAAGTCTAGTTACGCCTCGTTCTACACGTAGTCTTTGAACTCCGCACACTGTAAATAACACGGTATGTATATAAACACACACATCTGTATGTGAGGCCATATGTAAACAAGATATAGAAATCTAGACTACTACTGCAGCGTAGTGTGCATTGGTTATCAAGGTAAGCATATTGGAACCAGTAGCATGCATTAGTTATCCAGACTTTAATTATAACAATTTTAAAGGCATTTGGCTAAGCATACATATAAGGATGTTTGTTTAAACTTTGTTCTTCTATTTTGATAATGACGTATCGACTTTTTATTAATGTTTAATTATATATTAATTAATCTACTTGAAAGGTCTATAACCAAATAACAGTTTGAGGCCTAAGATATTTTTAGCGAAACATATTGTGTTTGTCCGTTCTTTGTAAGTGTAAAAGCGGATATAAATATCCCATGTATCTATCCGATGCGTACACAGACTGACGTACATGCATTTTCCTGTTTGCTCAACACTTCTTATATATCTGTTATAGGAACGGGGCATAATTTAATATTTTACAAACTCCTAATGGATATTGCTCCTCCACCACCAATAGAACGATACCGGCATTTCAGGGACCCAGAATTACGAAAAAGAAGTTTTGGAAAATGGCAGAAATACACCGAGCCATTTATAAAGGCACTTGTTGACGATGGCTTCTTTAGTATAGATGAAGAGAAACGGAAAGTGCAGTGTGTTAACTGTGGTGGAGTTCTTTGTGGCGTTGAAGAAGGACAAAATATCCACATCACACACTATCGTCATTTTCCTAAATGTGACAGGTTTAAGTACAGAGAACCTGACTTTTTAAGTCTGTTCAAAAATCCTCTGGTTATCAGTGACGCGACAGTGGCGGACGGTGTGTTAGGAACCATTGATGTGGCGCCGTATATCACAGGGAACCACGGAGTTAGCGAGGGGTGCTATTTAGATGGTAGGGTGGAGGACACGTCAAATCCTGTTAACGTGCTAGGGGACACGAAATACCCGAAACACATCTATTATTCCATTTACATAGACAGACTGAGAACCTTCAGTAATTGGCCAGCTCATTTTAAACAGACACCGGATGACCTTGCTAGAGCTGGATTCTTTTATGCAGGTGAACATTCTAATCATAACATGTTTATTTTCATACTGATGTACATACTATTTTATAATGACCGTTCTGATATTTAGTCACTCACACACCAAAAAAACTGGATTTTTTTCATTCTATTTTTGTATCTTTGGTTTAGGTGTTGATGACTTGTGTGAATGTTACTGCTGTGGTGGTCAGCTGGATGGCTGGGAAGATGATGATGACCCTCAGCAAGAACATAACAGGTGGTTTTCTGACACATGTCCATTATACCAAGCAAGACAGAGGCGACCATCAGCTCAGGTCGGGTGACAAATGAAACCAATGTGGTGCGAAGTAACTATATCGTAGACTTCAGTTCCTTGTCGCTAAGGTTATGGAGGCACTGTTATACTCCGAGGGAAAACAGGGGTCGGTAAATTGCAGACAGTTTGCCATTTGAGATGTAGCTCTTGTAGTGTCAAATTCAAATATGAAAGACACTGCCTTGATATATATCAATATATCTTGTTGAGTGTACTGTTGCCTAACCAAGTGAGATGACGTTATTATAAAACGGGAGAGACTCTGCCCTGTAAGGCTAACGTTGTGTCGGTATCCACTTCAATTGAAGATAGATCACAGATTATTTGAAGCAGTGGAATATGCAGTATTATAGGGTTACGTTATGTGGCTTGTACAAACAATAAATACCCTCTTAAACTCGTATGACGTTTTCGTGTTTTATTTATTATTTATTTTTTTAGCTTTAGTAAGATGTATTTGCGTTAAGATGTTTGCTTTTGATTGAAAATGTCTATTAATACTTAAAAGCGTAGTGCAGAATCAAACATTGTATCTTGCAATAATCTTCGATTGATAAGTTTCATCTATTTATCCAAGCAATACAGTGAACCGCATGCATACATTTGCGGAACTGCATTGGTAAAATCAATGCATATCACACAAAAACATATCATATCAACTTCAAGAATGAACATGAATTAGTCTCAACTTCAACATAACCAAGTTATTCCAATTTTCTTCAGAGTGATAAGTAAAAGTTAAATTGTTTATAAATATGTTTTTTTTAACTGGTTAGTTAAAAGGGACTAATTACTTGCCTTTAATCTAAAGATAATGATTTGTAACCACAGGACAAGGTTATTGTGTGGCAAAGACTGCTTTTGCAAATACTCCGATTTTAGGTATTTGTTGCATGTATAGTGTCATTTTAACATGAAAACCATGTCTGGTTTGGCCAAATCAAATATTGTAACCTTTATCCCCAAAGCAGTAGCATAAACAATTGTTTTAGATAAACCGTTTAGATTTTATGCACAGCTTATATGAACACGTTTCTGAAAATGGAAGTAGAGCATGCCATGAATATTTAGTTTGAGAAATGTTTGTTATGGTAATAGAAAAAACGCCTTTATTCAACATACCTGGATTACTTACCATACATGTATTGAACATTATATATAAATGTTACATTGAATAGTATATTGATTTCAAAACGTAAAGATTGAGGAGAAAAAAAATCTAAATAATTGTGTGCACTACATAGAGGTAGGCTTAAAATGAAAAATCTGTTGAAAGTAAATAAAGGTCTTCATATATACGGTATATACATGTACCGAGGTTAAAACAGTTAATTACTTGTTTTAAATCAGTTATCAGGAAGAACTATAATAGAGCAAATTATCAGTAAATATCTAATCATGTACATAAGATAAACAGCTCTACCATTTTCATTTGCTATATCTCTGTGTATTTGTTTTTACTTTTCCGAAGTATAAAACAGAAAGGTTATCATATCTATTTTGCTTTTAGTTTTCACAGCCTTTCAATAGGCCACATTAGATTTATATTACTTGTTATCTACAACAGAACATGCCTTCTTATATAGGAATCCACGCAATAAGTCAATGTGCCTGCAGTAAACCTGTACACCCCTGCAAGTCCGATCTGGCTTATTGCCAAGTCGTACTATGTCAACGCTGTCTGAGTGGCCCTTTATGTTATAATTGTTACCTATGCAGTCGGCAATTTTATGTAAGCACATTACATTTAGTTACAAAATAAACACAATACAAACCTGTTTGTCGACAATATGTTTACATTTAAAGTATGTCACTCGAAATTTAAAGTATTCATGTCACAATTTGGATCATCAGAAGTAAACATGTATTATATAATAGTTACATTCTAAAAAAATTGAAGTATCGTTGATGTACAGTTTTTAGTCAGCCTCGAAGCCTAAATAAGACACAAAGCGCTCCCTCATATGAAGTATTACTTATTAATTTAAACTAGAGCTGGGGAGTCATAAATTTATGTATAACAGTTAATAAATGGTGTTGTATATCGATCAACCGGAAAGAGGAAAGGAAACAGAAACAGAGACCATATGGGCATTGCATAGTATACAGGTGTTAAAGGCCACCTCCACAGCACAAAATAAATGTTCTCTGAATGCATTAGTCGGTTTTGTATTTTCTCGCTAAGGTTTATACGACTTGCTGAAAATATTTCAAACTGCCATCCTTTATGAAGCTATGGAAAAACAGTAAATTCAGAATGTGATTGTTGAAAATCAGAAGAAGAAAAAAATGAAAATCCTGTAGAGGTAGCACCTTTCTACTCCCACATTACAATGACTGGTAAAGTGAACATTTATATGTCGGACGTTGTGCCAACTGAAAACATTAAAATAGAAAAAAATACTTAACGTGAAAGGTACGCAACGTTTTTTGTATAAATTTCACTTCATGTAGCACGTATGGCCGTGCGCGTTGCTAAGCTGGTTAAGATCTTACTTGCGCACTTTTATGTACTACACTTAAGTTAATAATCATCGTTTTATTGGACCGGAAAGGAATCAATCCTTAATGCTAAATGTAATTCCTAACTATTGTGTACGGACTGTGAACAACCAGGCTAAGAAAAGTAAGTATACTTGTCAATAAAAATTAAAAACCCACAATGTCATATTAACTAATCCGTGCATAGCTTATCAACACACAACATCAGATCGAATGACAACAGATCAGTTAGATGTATGAAGTGTTGATAAGAGGTGATAGAAAGTTGTTAGAAAAAAACGACAGGTACAGAGTTCTTTCCGTGTCGTGTCTGTTCCGTCGCGTTCAAAAGCTGAGTTGGTGCTATAAATAGCTCGTTTCATTTTAACAAGCGTCATCTGTCAGCTGTAGACCTTGACACGCTCAGCGGTAAACAAGCTGGTGAGTTGGCTTTATAAATAACTGTTGGAATTTCCGTTTAGGTTACCCCTATAGCATAAGAGATAACATATTGTTGATCAATAACATTTTAACAGGAATGATTGTGCTGACTGCATCCTCGTATTTCTGAAGCGCTGTTTCTTTGATGCAGTTTCCGCCCGAAATCCGATCAATAGATAATTGAAAAAATGAATGGGCTAGTATGGAAACCTTTAGTTATGTTCGTCCGCCAAATCTTCCCTGTTATATATGACTACCATCAGAATTGTTACCTGGTCTTAAATTTAGATATTTTATTTTTGTAATTGTTTATTTTTCGACGATGTTTTCATCAGACATATAATCATGAAAAGCAACACACACACACACACACACACTCACACTCACACACACACACACACATACACACACAAACCCACACACACACACAAACACACACACACACACACAAACACACACACACACACACAAACACACACACACACTCACACACTCACACACTCACACACACACACACACACACACGTACAGAGCATACATGCTAGCACGAGATATCTTCATCATCTACACATGCAGAGGTTAGGTATACATTATACAACCATCATATTCTGCATATTTATAAACAATCACAGCTAACCTTGATAGTTACGTACAACTTATCGGTTTACATGTCGTAATTAATTCTGTATTCAAACGCTAGCTCAAAATAAATAGATTTATCTGTTGGATGTCGACTTCTGATTGACTTACTTACAACAAAGGGTTTTTAGATGCATGGTATATGTCTATAGTTGGCACCATAATGTCAATGGGATTTGTTTTAAATATTAAGGTAACGTACTTTGTAATGCTCATAAGTGTGTCTTGATGTGTCGTTGTCACTTAAACTAATCTCCCTCTGAGAAAATGACAGTACTAAGACCTGACCTATAACAATAATAATAAACTTTATTTAACGGGGATGACATGTTTAGCCAAAGGCTTATCTACCACATGGTCCTCATTGTTAGTAAAACATATTAGTGTTTAGTAAATCATAATTACAAATATCACAAATACATAAATATTGCAACATAATATCGTTATAGAATTAAATGTTTAGTATCAGCTATAAGGATATCACAGAATGTACAAGTGTTGAAATTAGGTTAAAGTTTATCATCTAAGATATAATATTGCTTAATACAAGTTTAAAAATTATCACAGAATGCACAAATTAATTATGCAAAGCCGTTTCGTCAATTAAAATGGTACAATGCCTTATGTACATATATGCTAATATAGTAAAAAAAGTAAAAATTCCCAGGATATACGCTAATAAAGCATGCATTAAAAGTCAATGGGTTTCTTTTAAAAAGAATGAATTAAGAATTCCAGAAGTATTGGATAAGTTGCTTTCTAAAAGAATTAAAATTAGTAATGTCTTTTAAATAATTTGGAAGATTGTTCCTGTCTTGCGGACCAGAAATTAAAAATTGTTTTGAATAAAACGTAGTCCTGTGTTTAGGAACAATAGCATTGTTTGTATTGGAAAATCTGATGACTCTACTGTGCACATTACTCACAGGTGTGATATTTTCACACAAATAACTTACCATACCATGCATACATTTATAAAACATTTATAAATTGAATCTGAATTTATTGTGCGGCTTGCGCCGATGAAGTAGTAAACGCATACTCTTTCGTAACACCTGGTCCTATTTTCCTTGTTCTTTTTTCAAAAGTCTCCATAAAAATCTCTCTTTTGCTCAAATGTACACTTTGTACATAGTTTTATCGATTTTGAGTTCGAATGGACACTTTGAATTGACAATTGATTTTATTCCTTTTTAGTGAGTTAAAAACACAAAATGTAATTCCCAGCGTTAATTTATGTTTATAGTCAGTAATACTTTACAAACCTTTAATGTAATATTACATTCTCCACAGTTGTATAAAATACTAGTTAATTCCATAAACTAGTGGCAGACACAAGCACATTGTTACCATCTCCTTGTTTAACACAAAAAAATCTAGTAACATGTTATGTTAATTTCAGATAACAAAAGATTACTGTATTCGTGACGTCATATACTGTAATAATGATAAACAACTCTGTTTACAAAATACATTCCTAAAGGGTCTGATCAGATTACATTGAAACTATGCACGTAGACCGTGATATCTCAGGTATACATTAAATGTTGTGTATATATACAGAGACGTCGGTATATGCAAGTATATCAAAACAAAATACACACTACAACAGCAGACTGGTACGCACGGAGAATATCGAAAACTAGGTAAGTATTTTCCGTATCAAGAGGGAAACTTTACTTTGAACATTAGCATGCAAAGATATATTTTAATTTAAGGCATTGGGGTAAGCATAAATAGAGGTTTAAAATATGTTTTTATCCTTTTTGATAATGGTATTTTGTCAGGTGTATAACTAAAACTCATTGTTCAGACCTCATATACTATGTCCCTCTTATCTAAGTGTAAATATCCCGTGCATCTATCCGATGCGTATACAAACTGACGTATATTCGATGCAAGCATTTTCCTGTTTTGTTCATTACTTCTAATAAATCTGTTTCAGGCAAGGATCGTTATTTGCAAGTTACAAGCGACTAATGGACATTGCCCCTCCACCGCCATTAGAACCATACCGGCATTTCAGGGACCCAGAATTACGAAAAAGAAGTTTTGGAAAGTGGCAGGAATATACCGAGTCATTTATAAAGGAACTTGTTGACGATGGCTTCTTTAGTATAGATGAAGAGAAACGGAAAGTGCAGTGTGTTAACTGTGGTGGAGTTCTTTGTGGCGTTGAAGAAGGACAAAATATCCACATCACACACTATCGTCATTTTCCTAAATGTGACAGGTTTAAGTACAGAGAACCTGACTTTTTAAGTCTGTTCAAAAATCCTCTGGTCATCAGTGACGCGACAGTGGCGGACGGTGTGTTAGGAACCATTGATGTGGCGCCGTATATCACAGGGAACCTCGGAGTAAGCGAGGGGTGCTATTTAGATGGTAGGATGGAGGACACGTCACATCCTGTTTACGTGCTAGGGGACACGAAATACCCGAAACACATCTATTATTCCATTTACATAGACAGATTGAGAACTTTCAGTAATTGGCCAGCTCATTTTAAACAGACACCGGATGACCTTGCTAGAGCTGGTTTCTTTTATGCAGGTGAACATTCTTATCATAACATGTTTGTTTTCGTACTGATGTACATACTATTTTACAATGACCGTTCTGATATTTAGTCACTTACACACCAAAAAAACAATATTTTTTTACATTTCTATTTTTGTATCTTTGGTTCAGGTGTTGATGACTTGTGTGAATGTTACTGCTGTGGTGGTCAGCTGGATGGCTGGGAAGATGATGATGACCCTCAGCAAGAACATAACAGGTGGTTTTCTGACACATGTCCATTATACCAAGCAAGACAGAGGCGACCATCAGCTCAGGTCGGGTGACAAATGAAACCAATGTGGTGCGAAGTAACTATATCGTAGACTTCAGTTCCTTGTCGCTAAGGTTATGGAGGCACTGTCACACTCCGAGGGAAAACAAGGGTCGGTAAATTGCAGACAGTTTGCCATTTGAGATGTAGCTCTTGTAGTGTCAAATTCAAATATGAAAGACACTGCCTTGATATATATCAATATATCTTGTTGAGTGTACTGCTGCCTAACCAAGTGAGATGACGTTATGATAAAACGGGAGAGACTGTAAGGCTACCGTTGTGTCGGTATCCACTTCAGGTGGGCGAAAATGTGCATGTTTCGGTGGGATTCATAATGTCCATGTATAAAGCATTTTAAACGAAAAATGAATGAATTGACAAATGAATGTATAAACGGATTGAAGATAGATCACAGATTATTTGAAGCAGTGGAATATGCAGTATTATATGGTTACGTTATGTGGCTTGTACAAACAATAAATGCCCTCTTAAACTCGTATGACGTTTTCGTGTTTTATTTATTATTTATTTTTTTAGTTTTAGTAAGATGTATTTGCGTTAAGATGTCTGCTTTTGATTGAAAATGCCTCTTAATACTTAAAAGCGTAGTGCGGAATCAAACATTGCATCTTGCAATAATCTTCGATTGATAAGTTTCACCTATTTATCTAAGCAATACAGTGAACCGCATGCATACATTTGCGGAATTGCATTGGTAAAATCAATGAATATCACACAAAAAAACATATCTTATCAACTTCAGGAATGAACATGAATTAGTCTCAACTTCAACATAACCAAGTTATTCCAATTTTCTTCAGAGTGATAAGTTAAAGCTAAATTGTTTATAAATATGTTTTTTTTTTAACTGGATAGTTAAATGGAACTAAATAATTGCCTTTAATCTAAAGATAATGATTTGTAATCACAGGACAAGGTTATTGTGTGGCAAAGACTGCTTTTGCAAATACTCCGATTTCAGGTATTTGTTGCATGTATAGTGTCATTTTAACGTGAAAACCAGGTCTGGTTTGGCCAAGTCAAAGATTGTAACATTTATCCCCAAAACAGTAGCATAAATAATTGTTTTAGATAAACCGTTTATATTTTATGCACAGCTTTTATAAACACGTTTCTGAAAATGGAAGTAGATCATGCCATGAATATTTTGTATGACTTACATTTAAAATTGCATTTAAATTCACTTGAAATTGATTCCATTAGATATCCCGCGGTCATCTGTCACTGTTAATTAATTCCATAACCAGTAACTTCAATTTTTGGTCATACGCAAGCTGGTGTTACGAATAAATCCTTCTCACAACTGAATACATATTGATGTTTTGTGGATTGTAAGAAGATAATAGATAAATATCTTTTTTTTTTCATTTTGGTTTTCTTTGCACTTGATTTTATTTTAAAACGTCCATTTCCATTTGTCTGTGGATGCCACTAAAATAACAATAACAACAATAATATTTTGATTGAAGAAAAACGTCTTTATTCAACATACTTGGATTACTGATCATACATGTATTGAACATTATATATAAATGTTACATTGAATAGTATATTGATTTCAAAGACTGATGAGAAAACAAATCTAAATAGTTGTGTGCATTACATGGAAGTAGGCTTCACATAAAAAATATGTTAAAAGTTAATAAAGGTCTTCATGTATACGGTATGTAAATGTGCCGAGGTTATAACAGTTAATTACTTCTTTTTTTTAAAGACAGTAATTATCAGTAAATCTCTAATCATGTACATAAGATAAACCGCTCTAACGTTTCATTTGCTATATTTCTGTGTATTTGTTTTTACTTTTCCGAAGTATATAACAGAATAGTTATCATATCTAATTTGCTTTTAGTTTTCACAGCCTTTCAAGAGGCCACATTTGAGTTATATTACTTGTGATCTACAGCAGAACATGCCTGCTTTTATAGTAATCCACGCAATAAGTCAATGTGCCTGCTTCAACGGTGACAAGTAAACCTGTACACCCCTGCAAGTGCGATCTGGCTTATTGCCAAGTCGTACTATGTGTGTACCTATGCAGTCGGCAATTTTGAGTAAACACATTACATTTAGTTTAAAATTAACACAATACAAACCTGTTTGTCGATATCATGTTTACATTTAAAGTGTGGCACTCGACATTTAAAGTATTCAGGTCACAATTTAGATCACCAAAAGTAAACATGTATTATATAATAGTTACATTTGAAAAGTTTTGAAGTATCATTGATGTACAGTTTTTAGTCAGCCTCGAAGCCTAAATAAGACACAAAGCGCTCCCTCCTATGAAGTATTACTTACTAATTTAAACTAGAACATATATGTATGTATACCAGTTCAGAAATTGTGATGTATATCGATCAACTGGAACGAGGAAAGGAAACAAAAGCAGAAACCATATGTGCAATGCAAAGTATCCGTATGAAATATTGCTGCCTACTCTAACAAATAAGACAGACTTGAGCACAGACAGCTGTCGCTTTAAAACAATACACTTTACTAAATGCAGCAAATGTATGCATATTTTGATAAGGGCGTTCATTGTTTCGAGATTTTGTACAGAAAATGAGACCAAAATTTATCTTCTCTTTTTGTTGCGAATTTCGAATTTGAAAAATATTGAACAAAATGCAACAAAAATGCACTGAATACTTATATATTATGCATCGACCTCGGTCCCGTGAAATAGACCGATGTGATAGTATGTGTTAACTGAAGCCAATGTTACACGAACACATTTCAATATAAGGAATAAATCAAATCATATACATTATACACAAGGTACATGTAAGGGTACATAGTCACATAAAGATAGAATCTATATATACTCATGCATGATTCGCCGATGACGTAGACTATATTTCATTCTATGGATCTATGATTGAAGATAAAAATTAATACCATGGCATAGCTGTGGTAAATGAACCTGGTTTGATCACAAGACTAGCTCTTTGACGATTTTCAAAGCAAATATATCATTTGTCTAGATGTTTTAAAAATGGTCAGTTTTGAATGCATTGAACAAATCAAATAGCTCATCCGAATCCTTCGGCTTTGTCATGCGAAAATCGAAGGTTGCAGAGTAAATACGTTTACCGAAAGCGCACATTTTGGATTTCGAAAGTTGTAATCTTTAATCCACACACCACATACCTGTAAGTATTGTTCGCTATCTTCACTGAAGGTAGCGACAGTATTGTCGGGATGGAACTGTGCCGCAAACTGCAACACTGGCAAAATGCGGGTCAAAGTACGGCGAAATGTGACGTAACTTATTTCAAGCACTTTGGAAGTTTAAGGGAGGTATTTTAGGTCAAAAGTGCTTAATAAGTAGCATATTTCTCTTGACAAAACACTGGAGTTCGGTATTTCGATGTACAGGGTGCATATTTCGAAAAATTCCCGGAAATAGGAACGTTTCCGGTGTCTCTATTGTAGCATCATAAAATTGTCTTCACCGTTGACTTTAACTTGTCCACACGTTTCTAACTTCATGTATATACTGTTACGATTCGTCCTCAATACGATTATTTTATGAAAATAAGAAGGCCAACGCTAAAACCATAGAAGGTTGCGCGTGTATGAAATACACGCGTGGTCATATCACCGGTATGTAACGACACGGTTTTGATGAATGATTTTAAAGATGACATATGGACCTAACATCAATAACCCGCGTTTATTCGCTAACACCTGTTAAACTGTCCAATATTTTGTACAACAGTTGAAATAATAAACTTTCCCTACTAAATATCTAAAAGCTATTACACGTCTGAATATCACATCATGTTGATCAAGTCGTTAATTGTATCTATATTACAATACATAAATAGAACGTTTAGATGGTTTTACATTAGACTAACAACTTCAAAGCTAGAACTTATTACAGAACACGCCAAAAAAAACACATGACCTAAACACCTAATCCCCAAAAACCGAAAGAAATATTCTAAACATTATTTTCAATATTCAATGTTTAAACTGCTTAAAGGGGTCTTTAAAAAGTACAACACTGGCACAGTTTACGAGTATTTACAAACACAACTGGAACTGCACAGAAGATATTAATTTGTTTGGCTATTCACATTTGTTCAAGTCGTGAACATAATTATGGTTCCACACACACGTGTTGAAAAATATGTAATTGTGTATGCTTCCATAAATGAATATCTCCACGCTTTGATGTCGTACCCCACGAAAGTCTTATATTCAATAAACTACATTCCTGACTGCTTTTTCATTTTCAGACGTAAATAAAGAGTATTACAAATACAAAATGATGTTCTACATTTGTAATCAGCCCATCCTGTATATATATAGCAGATAATTAATAAACCAAACATTGCGAAGGACAAGATGGAATAAAAGTCATAACTATGTAAGATGTACCGCTAGGGTTGTAATAACGACAGTATGACCAAGAAGGGGCACTGAATCCGAACAACAAATGTTGGTTGGATGCGTATTACTAAAATAGATATAAGGGCAAAAAGTAATTAGGACAGTGCAGACAAAAAGGAAGTGTCTGCACAGACAATTTCATTGTCTGCACTATCATTATTACTTCTTTACCAATACATTTACATAAATGTATATATGAGGTTTAACATTTTCTGAGCAGTCCACTCCTTTTCCGATAAACAGCTGTTAAGCATAAGCGAGGTGATCAGTCAAAGAGGCAGATATTAAAACTACTGATAGTTCGCAAATACACTGAAGTTCAGTTAGGATACAATAGCCTTTACAGTTCCTCTAATAAAAGTCCGACATATTGGACACTTCCTCAAGGCTGAAGCACACATCGGACAAGTGACCAGGTGACCACACGGAAGGAACACGATACTAGCTTCCTCGTCGAGACACACCTTGCATGTCTTCCTGTCTCGCAGTGCTTGGTTTTCCTCTTGAAGCTGAACTACATCTGTGGCAATAAAACCAAAACGAATTTCATTGGTAAATGCTTACATCAAATAATCAGGAATCGTGAATTTGCTATGAATAATCGACTCTGTCAATAAGGTTATGTATCGAAATAAAAATAGTTTAAGTCTTTGTTCAGATATCTGACACGAGTTGCTCCTGACAACGAGAGATGAACCCACGTCTTATTAGCACACTGGAAAACAATCGTACGTTATATAAACAAATTTTACAAGAAATATTAAACGAGTTTTTCAACTCCTATAAATCACAGTTATTGGTCCGGATTGAAGCACAAAAAGGGGTCTTAACGTGAGAGGAAACCTAGGTAGCCACATTAAACTCACTTGGTTTGGTATGTGACTAAAACGTGTATCTGTCGAAACAGTGAATCAAAATCAGGCCGTTTTGGTAAAAACAACGTGTGCGCTATCCATTTTTAAAACATGATACATTTTACTATTTTTAATACGAAGGATATTCTTTCACATATTTTGTAATCAACAAGCACGTTTGAAATAAATGTGTATTGTTTTCGGATACTCACCCTCTACTCTGCTTTCTCCGAAAGACACACCGTTGTCTCTGTTTTTATCATCAACTTCTCCGTGTAACACGTCAGGCACATTTTCATTTGCTCTACTGCCATGCTCTTCATCGGAGACAACCCCGTCATTTTCCACTATCTCCCAAACAAGTGACAGTAGTATTTCAGCACTCAGTGTCTTACCTGGTGAGGATATATGAGGAATCAGTCTCTGTACGTCTATGACATGTAACACGTACGTATTATAAGAAAACTATGCCCCTTAGATACTGCTCTATATTAGCCAATCTGAGGTCATAATGTGATGACAGTGTCCATTCATTAATTAAGGATTATTAAATTTCATTTTGTTTTCCAGAACTAAAATATACAATTTAGACGTTTTATTAGAACACTAGTGGTATAAGTTTTGTTTTAAGGCCAGACTTCTCAGACTAACTGCCGGATTGCATGCACACTAAGCAATAATAATAATATAAGCTTACGTTGCTCATATCAAAATAACCTTAACACTTAGTGTCAGCAGATATCAGGTAGGTGTTGGAATATTCCGCAATTATTGTACGGTTCTCAGTCTATGGAATCAGTAGCACCCCTTTTACATAAATTCTGAAATACATCCCCGTCAGTCGTGTAACTGTTTGACATAATAATGCTTGTGAGAAAAGTTACCTTGTCGTTTGCTGAATAATTCAATTGCCTTCGCTATGGTTTCTTCGTTGTAACCCATTTCCATTACACTAAGGACAGCTGGTTCATCGAACGAATATTTCATTTTCGGGGCTTCGAGTTTTTGCGATTGTTCCTGTCGAATTTTTGATGAAATTTTAAGTGTTTGCTATGTTGCTATGTTATGAAGAATATAACCAACATATTCAATTGTAGTGAATTACTCTCATATCGGTAAGAAAAATTCACCAAGGAAGCAACTATTTATAATTTACTACAACGATGATGAAAGCAAATCAAAGTAAATACTTCACTCACTATACGTTCATATATATAAATATGAAGACAATTACGCAATACATATTTTGTATACTGAAGGAAAAGTTGTCTTTAAGAACTGCCAATAAGGATTTAGACAGTGTGATTGTAATTGTCCAGATCTTATAGCTACCTGGGGTGCTGCTTTGATTGTTCCTGCTTGAACCGCCATAATGAACTGGTCATCCTTTATCAGTCTCATAAACTCACAGAACGGAAACCACCTGGCATGCTCAATAAAGGGGTCGTCTTCTGGTTCCCATTCACGTAGACCTCCTGCGCAGTAGAAACATCTCACGTAGTCGCTGGTACCTATGAATAAATTATTGTGATAGTAATAAACAAAGACGATAAAAAAATGTTTGAAAATGACATAACGTTGTTGAGAATAATAATACTATACAGTATTTGAAATAGCGCCTTCTACCACAATACGCTGTGTTATTCCACTCTCAGATCATTGTATAAACACGCAGACCGTTAGATAAATATGAGTTATATACCACACGTGGTATATGACCTTCAAGAGTTTTGATTGGACGAGAAAATGAGCTTTGACCGGGACGACTTTCCACGCGCTTTTTGCCACATGCTGTTTTGTTTACGTCGTCTGCTGTCAACGTCCGACAAATGTTGGTGACTTTGTGTGGTTATGCGGAAAAGGGGGTTATTAAGGCAATATTAAAAGAACATGATACTTAAAGATTTGATCGCTATAGTTTCGGGCAAAATTGCTACAGACGCTCGATATCGTTTCGACGTCACACCGTCGCGTGTCCAGGTCGTGAAACCAAAACAAGATCTTTCACAATGTCGGGAACTATTTCGTTCTCCCAACATCACGTCATCGCTATTTGGACGGTCTGACTATATGGCTGAACTTTCACTATAAATGTCAACAATAGAACCGTCACGAAGAAACGTATGCCTATGGTCTTGGACATTGACAGTGATAAGGTCGTCTTCATCACTTGGCGGGAGGCAGACTTCGTACGATATGCTTACGCGCATATAGTCCGTTGTTAATTTATATAAATTAATGCAATATTGCTACTCTCAATATTTAAAGTCGTTCATCTATCATATTTTTTCATACTTTTGTTGCCGAAACATTAATTTTGATAATCATTAAATTTGAAAAAAAAAAGTTATTTTTTAATATTAATGAGTGACTTTTTACATATGGATCATATCACAACGCCAGCCTGTGTGTATGTTATTTCCGATTGATCATGAGATTGTGGTAGAAACAGATCACACGACTCGTGGTTGTTGAGTATGGTATTTTTTTCACTCTCGTTAATTAATTCTCAAAAGTTACAGAAAGACACTCGCTAAAGCATGTGTCTTTTGTAACTTTTGAAAATTAACTAACTCGAGTGAAATAAATACCATATTCAACAACCACTCGTTGTGTAACCTCTTTTTATCTAGCTAACATAAGCCAATCTGAAGCGCTGTACAGTACATAGATATACAATTAATACAATTAGTGTATATACATTTAATCAATACATTTTTTTAGGAATTCGCAGGAGCTGCCTTATTAGGCGCTAACTACTGGTCCTAAGTCACGTGACTAATATCTCCCTATGTGTGCATGCCTGAGTGTGTGCTGGAGTTGTAATGTGTTCTGTTTGTAGTAGTGCCGTGCTTCCAACGGCATCATTTATAGTGCCATCTCACTTGAATGCTACTGCACAGATACCGTAACATCCACCCCAGACCAATCTATACTCAACATGGGATGTTGGAGTTGTGTGGGCAGGGGAAAAACACTTTCTCTGAATATCCATGCGTACGACGACTTCGGGGATCGAACCCCGGCCGCCGGCGTGGAAGGCCGGATTGTTAACCACCCCACCAATCCGCCCATTGAACGAAAACTTAACGTTCAATATTTTCTTTGGAAAAACATTAAATTAAAAAAAATGTTACAATCACGAAATACAAAATATTCACATGTTTGCTTACCTTCATAAAAGAGTCCAGCTTTCGCTAGTTCCTCCGGTTTTTGCCTTAAATGTGTTGGCCAATTTTTATATGATGTAAACCGTACGGCAAGTACTGCAAACTGTGGATAGCGCGGGTTGACTGCGTTCAGCGCTTGCGATGCTTGAGAGAATATGTCATGATTGGTTTCCAGATTGTTAGCAGGATCGTGACCTGTCCTTATAGTATTAGGAATGTCCTCTCCGGATCTATGGATCTCAGGTTCTAGTGAGTCGGTTTCCGGTCGATTCGTGTGCACAAGAGGTTGTGCACTATTCCCTCCTGTTGAACGATCAGCTATGTTCTGGCTCAACACGTCGAATTCTGCAACGGAATGTTTATTGGTCAGGATTTGACTCGTAGATGAAGTAATGGTATCTGATGATGGTGTCAGATTAGAGTCAATCACTTTGTGCGGGAAATTAGCATTTCTCGTTGCAAATAAAGAATCGTCAGTTTCCCGGTAACTTACAGTTGATGACTGTTGGCCAGAAACAGTAGTGTCTTGTTTTATTGACTCTTTTGTTTTGTTCATAGTACCACCCAATGGTCCACCGATGGCACCACCGTTGCATTCTATTTTCTCCTGTGGACTTACATCACCAACAGAAAAGTTACAGTGACTGCCATTACGCACTTTGTCATTTGACTTTAACCCAAATGTGCAATTAGGAGACATCGTAATGTGGATAGCCATTGGATTGTCCTGTCTCTGCCACCCACTATATCTCAACAGACAACGATGACAAACAACCTCGTCTTTATTTCCAGTATAATGAAAACCTGACTCGGCCAGAGAAGTTATTGAAACAGGAGATGTGAACGGAAAGGAAAAGAACGTGGCAAGTCTAGACAAGTAGTTATCCATGTCTGATAACTATCTCACATAATGTATTTGCTGTTAGTAGGATCACTCTGAATCTGAAAGTGAAGAAAGTAAGTAAAAAGTGATTCTGCAAGTCACAACAAGTAAAAGGTTTTAAAATGATGATTGAAGACGTATTTGTTATGTTATAATTTAAGGCTTGTGAAATGCTTTAAGATGTACATTTGTTTATGATATTTCGATGACTTAATTTTAAATATTCGTGTGATATGAAACAAGGATCCTTGTCCAACTTCAGACAAAATACTAAATACCTCCACTTTGTTTTTGTATATACAGTGACATCCAATTAATTTTGTTTTTGATGTATCGCAATTTGACAACGAAACGTCCGTTGTTATGGTAGCTAAGTTCAGAGGCAGTGTGACAATCTGAGGTCCAGGGTTCGAATCCTGCTCTCGCTTTGCTGAATTGTTTTGACCCAAAACACTGTCGTTGTTGAGATTTTGTTATATCATCTTTATTTTTATTTTCATAAAAGTCACGCAAGATATGGTTTCTTTTTCGGAAATGTTTCATTAGAGATAAAGTTATGTCAAAATGAAAAAGCAAAAACAATACAGTTTTCAGTGGAATTATCCTGAAGGCCTTTGTGTGACATGGACATGAAAATGTGCACCTGTATTAACAAAACGTGCAGAGCACGTTTCTTTGTTCCACTTTTTCTTACCTTGTCTCTTTCAAAATACCGACATGGCAACAGATTGTGCATAAAATCGCAAATGACATCGTGTTTGTTAAGGCACCAATCGGATGCGGATTTTCGCCCTCCAGTCATTTTCTAAAATATTTTGTCGCTGATTGATTCTGTAAAAGAAAAAACTACTCATTACAGCAGTAGCATAAAGGATCTCAAATAACCTCTGGGCACAATTCTTACTAAAGTTAGTGATTACTCTGTTCAACAAAGTGTATTGGTACAATGCATCATTTTATTACTTGGACAGAAACTGAGGATGGCAATGCAATTTGGCATAATGTCAAAAGGAATCGCTACAAAGAGAAATAAATCACTCAAACATCAGCATATCACTCATATATGTGTACATAACTGAGCAATACAACACCATAAAAATGCGTGTATATATTTATACATTCTTAATGTATACAATACATATCATCTACTATTGTGTAGAGTATACATACGTTCTACTCTGTGTAACGTATCCAATGTTGACTGCAGTAATGAAATCCCATTGTACACTAGAGCAAACACTGTTTACAAACCATTTTGTAGTTAATCTAAACGGAAATACCTACTTCTATTTATAGATCCGAGTCACTTGTTTACAGTCATGTAGCTGATAATGTCAGGGTTGAAATGCATTGCTTACGATAAACAAACTTATTAGGGTACGTGATATTTTTCAGGTTTAGATGATTGTGTAATACATATATTTGTTAGCTGTTATTTATTTGTCTGTCAGGTCCGTGAGGTACAAGGACATGGGGACTGCACCAGATGGTTCGGTATTGTTGGAATATGGTTGCTCAATGTCTTTAGTTTTTTATGATGAGGCTGTTTAATATATTATAATAATTGAATTTGTAAGGGTAATAGCATTGTTACAGTGATATGTCTAATTTGTTTATCGATGACTATGTATCGGTCTACTTACCACTGTAGGATGCATGTGTTTACATATACGGGCATGATTTGAACGGATACTATCGAAAGCAAAGCTGATTAACATTTTTTAATTTATAAAGATAAGTTCTATTTATACACAACCTTTCTGTTTTAAATTATCCTCAGAATATAAAACGTTAAGGATGCAGAATGTATTTAGATTAGTAAATACTTTATCTTCTGCATACTGTTGCAATCAATACGTGGGAAACATTCATTGTCTGTGTTATTTCATGCGTTAAACATTGTAATGTGTTGAGATAAGATACAGATAATCATGATATGATATATGCAGAATGTGGAAAACAAACTAATACGACTGAATGCTGATAACTGTTAACATATATGTTCGAAATTTTGAACTCACAACGGTTATAATTTTGTCAACTTTACTACAAAACAGTCATCCTAACAATTAGTTACATTACATACATGTCGTTCATTAACTGTGCATTACTTGTAACACTGGTACAAACAACAAGCAACGTGCGGTTAGCAAATATGAAAATCCTGCACCATATCGGGTTGTAAGTTATGCATCCACCAGTAATGTTTTTGGTTTTCCTCATTATACAGAAAAAGATTTGCAGTAACATCCGATATCCTAGCATTACCCCTATTACCCTCTACTTCATGTTTACATACGGTTCCACTGTACCTTCATGTTGTCGTGTCTGTCGTTTGCGATTAACACAATAACCTGCCATCTAAATCTTGCCTGTAAGACATTTCAAATTGGAGTTGTCAACGGTTAACAGCATTCGACCTCAAACGTCACTTCCGTGTTGTCGGCCATACTTTCGTTTTGTGTATTGTTTATACAGTATATCATAAATATTAAACAATAATACACATATTTTATTTGCCTGTATCAAAGTAGCCGCAACACTTTTTATTATGCAAGAAAACCTATTTCTCGGTACAGTTGAGAGATGCAGTCATTATATATAGTTTTGCTTTCCACAAAATACCTGGAAACATTTACTGTTTGCACAGACTTAGTAAGATCATCACCATTTCTATATGTTTTTATTTTTTAGAAACAGAAAACTCCTAGATATATCAGAAAGATGTCAGTCGTATCGGACAGACCTATATTCCCAACTCTTACATTCAAATTCCCTCACTCATAGAAAGGATAATTGTCCACTTGCAATGCCCTAATTTTATCTTACGTTTATCTTGTTTTTACAGAAACTTTAAAAAAAAATGTTCAAAGATACAAATTAACAGTACTTTATAGATTATAGCTGTGTTTATACCTACAACGTAAATATGTTTGTATAGTGTTAACTTGTTGTATTGCATTCGTCGTTATTATTGTTTATGACCAAGTCTTACTAGCTGTCCTGATCAAATCTGGAATCTAAATATAGATACAGCATAACATTAATAACCTACTTACATGTAAGCCCGTCTGTTTACATATTCTATGTGTCAATACTTGTAGCATGAACAGGTACACTTAACAGTACGATGGATCAAAGGGGTGGGGAGAAGGGTGACCACACATTCCTCGTTTCGAGGTGTGGAGAGGGAGGACACAGTCATGCTTTACTATCAAACATCAGCAATTATTTCATGTGACAAGTAATTTTCTCTGCCGGTGGACTATCGTTTTTATCCATCAAGGTTTGTATTGATATAAAGAAAACAATGTTAATAAGGTGTCAGACCAGTTTTAGCTTTCTGTATTGTACACGGATAACTAAATGCGTTTACATGGAATGGACACAGATCTGTATTAATCCATTTCACTCAGTCTGATGTTATTGTATGTACCATGTATTTTTTACTCTATAAAGGATTTATTTACTTCTTCACACTGAATACGTCTTTCTGTCAATAGTTTTGTTTTTACATGACGGTTTTTATTATAAACTATATTTACATATTACTAATGTATGACGTTATCATTACAAAAACATTTAAATATTGTTCGTATATGACGTTATCATGTATTTATGTTTTATATACTTTGTATTTCGTCTGTGATACTGTGACATGTATTTATATGTACATGTTTACTGTTATTTATTATCAAACCTATAAATGGGCTTTATGTTCTAGTAGATTGAAATATATGATATATACATAGCGTAAAATTATCAGTCACCTGCGTTTATATTTATTCTCCTGGCAACAATTTGTTCTGTGACATTTACACAAAATACTGGGTTACAGGTTTTGACTTGCACGTTCACACACAACAGTAAGGGAGAGAGAGAGTGGTTTACACGTTCACACACGACAGTAAGAGAGAGAGAGAGAGAGAGAGAGAGAGAGAGAGAGAGAGAGAGAGAGAGTGGTTTACACGTCCACACACAACAGTAAGGGAGAGAGAGAGTGGTTTACGCATTAACACACGACAGTAATTGGCAACTTTTTTTTATATCTAATTTGTCTTAAAACAAACTTAATCATTTTAAGCAAACAAACGCATTGATATGTGTTTTTATTTCAAGAATGACTTTTTAAATACATATAAAAACGGTGTTCACTTTACATAAAATGTTTGGATAACACAACAAATGCACACTAGTTTAGGGTCTGTTCAACCATAAACTTGAATCAATTACTTGTTCTTCATAATTAAAATCCACAGACATGCACGAAACGTGTATTGCTTGGTTTCGTACAGATATCTGATTCTAGTTTCTATAATTCCTGATTACTTCAATCGCCTTTTGCCGCCTTTATCTGGAGAAAATATTCGTTACGCTTTACGTAACAATAATAACCATGGCATAGGATTCCTCCTTTTAGACTTTCTCTTACTAACTCTTCTTGTATACTTTCTACTCTTCATTGTTGGAATAACTTTTAAAATTCGGTTCGATCTTTGCCCTCTATGAATTCATTCAAATCCTGTTTAACATCAAATATTCAGTCAAGTCCACCTATTTCCTTTAAATTCGGAAATCGTGAACTGAATACTTTGCATACTATAAGGTCCGACACAAGTGCAGTTCCCTTAATTATGACCTCTTTAAAGTTAACCTTGTTGAGAGTGCAGCTTGTAATTGTGGCCATCCTTGTGAGAATGTCTTTCACTATTTTATTGAATGTCACCTTATTACAAAAGCGAAAGACGTATTCCGGTTCAAAATTTAAATAATTTGAATGTTGCGTTAAATTTGGAAATTTTTGTTGGCAAGAGATTTTGAGCTCAACATTTAATTACAATTGTATATACTTATTGTCATTATTGTGATGTCAGTTAAAACGTATATTTGGAGAAGGCGTTGATAATTTATTATTACTTGTGCCTAATCCCTTGTCTACTTGTGGCAATGAATTTGTTTAAACTTAAACTTAAACTTCTATTACTGATACATATATGATCTTACATGAGCTTCCATTTCATAGGAGATTTATAAAACGAATCTAAGATTTTTTCAATTTAGCGAGCCTCTGGCGAGCTAAAATGTAAAATTTGTGACGAGTTTCATCATTTCATATGAAATTATAACGAGTGTAAGATCCTTTTAATCACATCATCAAGATTTTTCTTTAATCTTAGTTTGACTTTAGGGAGAACATTATATCAGTCGGTATCAAGCTATCTAACTATATATGTCTACCATACCTAATGCTACCAGTGAAAATTATCTTTTGTCATAATTCACTACACATATATTTAACAAATATCGTATGGACGGCTCATCATTATAGAGTGTTTAGAACGTCTGATTAAATCTGTGCTGTTTGTTAATCATTATAGAGTGTTTAAAACGTCTGACTAAATCTGTGTTATGGTTTAATCATTATAAACTGTTTGGAACATCTGACTAAATCCGGTCTGTGAGTTAATCATTATAGAGTGTTTAGAACGTCTCACAAACTACTGTTTGTGGGTTTATCATTATAGAGTGTTTAGTACGTCTGACTAAATCCGGTCTGTGAGTTAATCATTATAGAGTGTCAAGAACGTCTGACTAAATCCGGGTTGTGGGTTTATCATTATGAAGTGTTTAGGACGTCAGCCTAAATATGTGTTATTGTTTAATCATTATAAACTATTTGAAACATCTGACTAAATCCGGTCTATGAGTTTATCATTATTGAGTGTTTAGAAAATCTGACTTAATCCAGTCTGTGAGTTTACCATTATAGAGTGTTTAGAAAGTCTGACTAAATATGTGTTGTGTGTTAATCGTTATAGCGTGTTTAGAATGTCTGACTAATTCCGGTGTGTAATTTAATCATAATAGAGTGTTAAGAACGTCTGACTAAATCTGTGTTGTAAGTTAATCATTATAGAATGTTTAGAACGTCTCACAAACTACTGTTTGTTGGTTGATCATTATAAAGTGTTAAGAACGTCTGACTTAATCCGGTCTGTTAGCTCATCATTATAAAGTGTTAAGAACGTCGGACTAAATCTGTGTTGTGTGATCATCATTATAGGGTGTTTAGAACCTCTGACTTAATCCGGTCTGTGGGTTAATCATTATAGAGTGTTTAGAACGTGTGACTAAATCTGTGTTGTGTGATCATCATTACAGATTGTTTAGAACGTCTGACTAAATCTGTGTTATTGTTTAATCATAATAAACTGTTTGGAACATCTGACTAAATCCGGTCAGTGAGTTTACCATTATAGAGTGTTTAGAAAGTCTGACTAAATCTGTGTGGTGTGTTAATCATTATAGCGTGTTTAGAATGTCTGACTAATTCCGGTCTGTGAGTTAATCATAATAGAGTGTTAAGAACGTCTGACTAGATCCTATATGTGAGTTAATCAGTATAGAGTATTTCGAACGTCTGACTTAATCTGTGTTGTGGGTTAATCATTATAGAATGTTTATAACGTCTGTCTTAATCCGGTCTGTGGGTT